ACTGCCCCCACGGGCAGTATTGTTTATTGGTCAGAGGTAGATAACAGGACCTAGGGCAGCCAGCTGTGTGTGGGGACACACAAGGCCTGGGGCTGCCCCCACAGGCTAGTGGCCTGTGTGTCCAACAGGGCCTGGGTGTCCTCCCACCCCTCTTGGCTGTGGGAAGCAGCAGCCCAGAGCCTCTCATCCGGGATAGGGTTTCAGGAGCTTTCTCCCCAACTCTCTCAATCACGTGTGGGAACAAGCCTCTGAGCCGCTCGTGACATCACTGATGACTTTCTGGTCCCGGATGTTTGCTGAGCCGGCCACAAGAGCAACTGTGCTGGAATTTGAGTGCGACACAAATGTCCTTTTACAAGCGTCTCTGTGCCTCTTTTCTCCTGACAGGGGAAACTGGGGGCTCCTGCTCCCCTCCTTCCTGCCCCAGCTGTCAGGAAGCAGAGGGGCACAGGAGCCCCCAGACTCGCAGAGGCGCCTGCTCACATCCATTCCCTGCGTTTCCTTCCTCCTCGGGCTCTTTGTTCTGCTCTGTCCCCACAGGATTGGTTCTCCCTTGGCTGGGACCTTTAAGGAGAAGGGGGAGGGCACTGCCAATTATAGCTGGGGCTCCTGTGCAGGCTGTGAGGCCCTGGGGGGCCCAAGGTCCCAGGTGCCAACCCTCGGCCTCTTAGACCTGGTGCTCTGTGCCCCCCTGACTGCACACTTTCCCATCCATGGCCATTGCATAGCCCCCACTTATACACCACCTGCCGCATACCTAGGAGCCGTCCCAGTGCCGCCAGCTTGCCATGTGAAGTGGCAGCACAGAGACCATGGGTGAGAGAGTGTTGTAGGCTGTGAGGCCTGGGAGGGCAGGGGTGTGTCCCAGGACTCACAGGGACCACATATGGAGCTGGGGGAACCCACGTCTCTGTGTCCCGGTCAAGAGCTCCTCAGGCAGGAGTGCAGAACAGTGGGCTCACGTGCACCATGAGCTTGTGCAGGACAGGCCTGGGGCTGGGCCCCTTGCTATGGGCCCGTGTGTCTGCGCAGGTGCTACCATCGCACTCCATCTGGGATTGCTGCTGTGCTCGCACAATGCGATGGGCCACCTGCTCCTCTGGGCTCCCAGACCTCAGTGGGTCCTCCTCCTGCTGTTCCCTGTACTGGGCATAAGCCTGTCTTGAGAATGGGGTCTCCCAGCACCTAGCACAAAGACCTTGGGTGCTGGAATCAGTAACCCACAATGCTGAGCGCACAGGTCGGTTTCCGAGTGAGGGCGTGCCCTGCAGGCAGGGTGCCTGAGAAACCATCAGGCCCCAGCTTCAGCACCGTGGCCCCAGCTCCTGTGGCTTTGGAGCTAAGGTCCTGGCCTCGTCCTCAAACCACTGCTGTGGAAACTATAATGCTAAGGGAAATGAGCGAATCCCAAAAGGTTAGATACCACATGTTTGCCTTAATTTAACTTGTATTTTTTTATCCTGTCATTGATACTGTCTCAACACATGTGTTTCGAAAAATTGAACTTGCATTATTTTAACATATTATTTACTCAATACTATGTCAATCAATTCCATAAATAAATAAATTTTTTTAAAAGCCACTGCTGTGACCCTGAGAACAGTTCCTGGCACCTGAGCTCTAATTCAAGAAAGTTCAGCAGCTGAGTTCTGTTGGAGTTTGAATGTCCATCCTTGGGACCCCAAATGGCCTGACGATGACTGCTGCCCCTCCTGGACTTGCACCATCTCCTCCACCACACCCTAAGCCTGGGTGAGCAATCAAGGGCAACAGCCTAGCATCAAGGGCAGGGGCTTGTCCAAGAGCAAATGGGTCTGGTCTGAAGGCCCAGCTGAGTTCGCAGAGGCTACCCCTGCACCACTTGCTGTCCCTCAGCTCCTGCCGGAGCCTTGTGGCCAGTTCCCAAGAACTAACTACTGGCAGCAGAAGATGCTCTGGGAGCAGGGTGTGCAGACGGCACCATGCGATGACAGGAAGTAGCTGGAAGTTGAGCAGGGGTCCTGCACACCCACACTTGTGGGACCCTAATGGGAAGGAAGGAAGGAAAACCCTCCTACAAGTGGGAACTTGGGGCCCTGCAGTTAAGTGTTCACTTTATGCAAAGAACAACCTGCCCGAGGTACAGATGAAACCTGACAAGGGGCATTCATTGAGGCACAGCAAGTGAATCCATGGCTGCGGATGCCAGCATTCCATATTGAAGTGTTAGTTCAAGTCGCATCTCCTCTGCCTCTGATCAGACTTCCTGCGAATTCTCCAGGAGAAAGCAGAGGATGCTGGATTTCTGCCACCCATGTAGAGGACTTGGAGGGGAGCTGGCTCTCAGCATCTGCTTGCTCCAGCCCATTGTTGGGAAATGAATCAATGGATGGGAAAGTCTCTCCTCTCTCCCTCATAAATAAGTACAAACAATCTGGCACCATGGCAGAAGACTGGGAACACACGGCAACAACAGTGCCATACAATGCTTAGAGAGCACACTTCTAATTGCTTAGCCTATACGTATACGCAAGGTAAGTGAACAGATCTCTCACAATAGGCTGGGTAGAAATATTTGTGTCCTGTAATGCTCACATGCACGTACCCCAAAATGGTGCCCAACCTTTGGAATTTTGTCAGTCTCTTTGGCTAGGCGCCCCAGGGCTTGTTCAATAATCCAATGAGCAAAATGGCTACAATAGAAGGGATGAATGTTAGTTAAGTTTGGATTCAAAGTGGGTTAATGTTCATATTTAACTTTTAATGTAAATATTTTTCTAATCATTATTAATCCTGTACTGACTAAACATTTATACATCTATACATAAAGCACAAACATATCTACTAAATAAATATACAGTATATTTGTGGAAATGAATTTTCATAGGTGGGCAGCAATTAGGACAAAAATGTCCAGAAAGATTTCTTAGGGGTGCTGGTAACAGATGTATGAACAGCTCCAGGGCTCTAGCCAAGAGGAATATATATTAGAATCTAGAATTATTTGAAGTTTAGTTAATAATGTACTGAAGGCTGAAAATCATGGGAATTCATCCATTACAATAATTACCCCTAGGCTGACAAAGATGGTAAAACAGATGAGTCTGTCCTCATTTCTCCTGCCACTCCCTCTTCCCCACTCTAAATACTCTCTTACCTACCTGGGGCCGGACTTGCTGTCTTCCTCCCTGGCCTACCTACCTTCAGTCATGTCACATAATTAGTAAAAAGTAAAGAATCAACCTCCAGTTCTTTCGTGTGCTAGGCCTTGTGAGAGGGTAGAAGTGGGGGCGGAAGGGAGCCTGACAAGCCCAGTGGTCTGAGTGTAATTCAACTCCAACATTATTGAATATTCAACTTTTATGAGATTCAGTCCTCGCCTCCCCTTTGGGTCCCTCATCCACATATTTTCAGATAGACTTCGCCTGACTTGGCAGGGAGAGGGTTGGGTACATTACCCATCAGTCCTTGCTGAGGCCAAAGCTGCCTCTGACCCTGTCTACCTATCTCTGATACTACCCAGCCCTCGAGGAGACCATGGCCTAGTCCCTAATGGGAACATCTTTGTTTTCTTATGTTTAACACATGACCACAGGCAAGATTTTCTTATTCTGGATGGAACATTCCCCCTTTCCAATCCTGTTACCTAATCAAGAAAATGTTCTGTCCTTGTTGTTTATAGTCTGCAGGAGAGAAGAGGTGCCCATTACAAGGGCTTCATTGTCCACAACACTGCCCCAGTGATTATAAACCTAGAAGTACAAGGACAATAGACAGTGACAGCTACATGGAGAAAGGTCTCTGATAGAATGGGGCTGGGTCTTCCTCTTAGAGGCAGGGTAACTGGGAGGATATCCTCAACCACCCAAAAGGACCTTAGTGTCTGGTTTATAGTATTGCCTCTTGTCACTGATTTCACTGTCCTCAAGGGTATTTCACATCTGCAAAACTATCCTGTTTCCCCTCAGTCACCTATCCTTGGACCTCACCATCATCCAAAGGTCTGCCATGTTCTTCACTACAATCATCCTACTGTGTTTGACTTGCCCTCTAGTTTGTCCTATCAACACCCCTTCCTAGATATCTGGAATGCAGCCAGCCATAGAACAAGGGCTCAGAATGTTCTCCTGGCTCCATTCATGGTCTCCACTGAGACTTCTGCCCATCCATCCTTGTACAGTTCCCAGAGTATCACTCTTCATCCCTCCTAGTAAGCCTATCTTATGGTTCATCTCTTTGACCATTTCATATATCTATGTGTCAGATGCTATTGGACACAGTAAGGAATGCCTAGACATGTGCATTGCCATTACTGCCATGGGTTTGTGTCTTTATTCTAGATCCAGATATCAGAACCCAAAACTTGGAATAAGCCAAATTTTTCTGCCTCTTGTTTCCAAAACCAAGATTACTGAACATCCTGCTGTGTCCCCCAACCCCTGCCAAAATAATGGGTATCATGTTCTCTTGGGGACTCCTCAGTATCCAACATCCTTCCACAGTGCCTGTCAGAGTCCTGTCTTGGACAGTGCCTTTTCCCCAAGACCCTTCCCCTTCCCTCACTTCTTCAGAAACTGGGCTGTATGAGTTAACGTTCAGCTTCTTCCTCTCCATTGGCTCCTGCCCTGATTATTTCTCTTTCCCCAAGAAAATGCTCCCTTGTTCTCTGATCTCCCTTTGTCTACCTGCCTCTTTCCCATGTATCTCACCCAAACTTCTCAAAACCACAGTGTCATTCTTCCTCTGCTTCCCACTCCAGGCTTGCCCATCTCAAATCTCTTCTTCAAAATTGTGTATATTTGGTGCCTATCAGACTCCACCCAACTGAAATCCCACCTGCTCCATCAGTTAGACATGGGGTCCAACCTAGCCTGCAGAAAAATGTTAATCTCACTCCTGAGGATCCATCGGTGTTACCAAAATAAGCACAAATTTAGGTGGAAACATCTTCAATCCCCTTTAAATGCCAAACTGTGACAACCCCACCATGCCCCCCCAGCCCCAAAGAAAAAGCAAGAAACTCAGAAATGGCAAATAGATTTAATGCAGTGTCAACTTCAATTGATAGTGGCTGCCAAGAGTGCTGTCTTGAGTAACTTTCTGAGGATGCACTCTGGCTTGAGGAGAAAGACTGCTGGGATTAATAATATCTGAAAACACAAACAAAAAAAAATCAGGTAATATGCACCAAACAAGAATAAAATGCCCACAGTGTCTTTGCACATCCTCCTTTGCACCCTCCAGCCCAGGCCTTGCAGTAGTAGCTCAGCTCTGCTCTCCATCCCTGCAAGCCCCAGCTTCTCCCACCACAACCAAGGCAGATACCTGAAATCTCACTTGTAGGAGAAACCACAGGCACCAGAGCTGCCACTGGTGCTGGCACCAGCACCACCAAGGCCAGCAAAGAGCCCAAACGTGAGAGTGGCAGTCAGGCCGGCACCGGCACTGAAGCCACTGCTGGCACTGCCAGTTGCGCCAGTGCTGGTACTGGCACTGGCACTGGTACTGGAACTGGTACTTCCACTGGCACTTGCACTGGCACTGGCACCACCACTCTCTTGGGCTTTGGCTTTAGCTTCAGCTCCTGCCTGGATCCGGGCTTTGGCCCAGGGGCCAATATCAGCTTCATCCCAGTTGCAGGGCCCAGCTGCGTTCTCAGAGCCAAGCCCAATGCCCATTCGAGCTCTGATCTCAGCCCGCGCCTTGGCTTCAGCTGCAGCCTCAGCCGCAGCCTTCAAATCTGCTTCCATTGCCTCTCGGTACTGAGCTGCCCATTCCTTGGGATCCTTCTTCTGTACCTGCAACAGAACAGCCACAAGAAGGGTTATATGTAGAGGACTAAGAGCCCATATAAGGCATCATGCTACAGGTTGTATATGAATTATGAATGTGGTAAGTTCTACTAGTAATTTTGTACCTAATAATCCATCCCTGCTCTGAAACTTACTAGCTTTATGATCTTGAATATGTCACCTACCAACCTCTCTGGGCCTGTTTGCTCATCTGCAACAGGACAATGACATATTAGTTGCACAGATTCAATCATTCAGATAAAAGTGCCTGGCAGAGTGTTGGGCAATTAACAGAGGCTTCTCAATGTTGAGATTTGAACTACATGCTGTTCTGTACATAACCTGCCCCACCCAAGGAAATCTCCTGCTCTCCATAGCCAAGCTCAGGCAGCTCTCTAATTACCTTGCAGGCAAACTTGAGGACTTTCATCTTGCTGGTCTCATAGTAGGAGCGCAGGCCCCAAAAGAACTCATACTCCGGGGGATTGCTGTTGGGGACTCTGGCATAGTCCAGGTACCTTGAAAAAAAAAGTTGAAAATCTTTTTATCTGAGATTACGCATGGCTCACCAAGGCAGAGACTGGACAGGCGCTAAATGGTAATGTCCCAGACTAAATTCTGTAGCTTTTCTTCTAAGATTGAGCCTCATACCACGGGTCCTGCATGATAGCCACATGAAGGCACACAGGGTACATGTGTAGGACATGTGTTCACAAAGAGACCACATGTTTTATGCCCCTCAACACAATTTCCCCATATTGCTGTTGGGTGTGCTGTAAACAGAGGAACCGTTCTTCAAGGTCCCTTGTTCTGAGCACAGCCTGCCCTAAGGATCCTGCCTGCAGTCCGGCTGAGCTCCAGCAAGGCCCATGGTAGATGATGACTATAAAGGAAGAGTCAGCTAAGATCAGCATGCTATAGACATCCTTCCTAATTCCTGACTCCGTGTGTGTATATGTGTGTGTGTGTTCCTGTGTGCCCATGTGGGCTTGAGTGCCGTGTGTGCTGTGCATTTTTCAAAGGCCAATGATAGGATAGACCCTCCGCAGAAAGGCAGGAAGACTGGCTCCAGGCCCAAACAAGCCCCTTGGCAGCAATGGCCCATGCCTAAACTCCCCTCCTGGAGTCCCATGTTCTGCAAACATGAAACAGGGATGGGATGACTGTACCTGTTGTGCAGAGCAGTAAGGAAAAATGAAATGACATACACAAGTCAATTCCACAGCATGGTACCTGGCTGCCTAAAGGTACCATTTTATAGCCTTTCTTTATGGGAATTAGTGTCTAAGATGTCCTGGATATGCACAGTAAAATAAAGCAAGCCAAGTCCTAAAAACAATTTCAGCTGCTGTCCATGCAAGCTTGAGCAAAGGATGTTACCTCTCTGAGAATCCATTGCTGCCTATAGACGTTACTAGTCATGATAATCTCTCCTTAGAGAGATTTTTGAAAACAACTTTTGAAAACAACTGTGAGAGTACACAGAGCAAGAGGTTAGGAAATACATGCTACTCCTGTCCCCTGTCACTACCCCAGAAATAACCTTCCAACCTGCACGCACACACACACACACACACACACACACACACACACACACACACACAAGCATAAACACCCACTATGTCCATATTACTCAGCTCTGAAACAGCTAAAATGTACAAACCACATCAACACCAGGAAGGCACTTACTTCTGCTTCACAAACTCATCAGTAATGAGCTTTTTCACATCCCCAAAGAGTGAGTGATGTATCCTGAGAACAGAAAAATGGCAGTAAGTAGACAGATACAGTAAGGGCTATGGCACTTTCCAGATGTGGTTAGATGCATTTCCAATATGTAAAAGGTTTTCAGCACAGAGGGAAGCTCCATAGAAGCTGAAGGGGCAGTGAGAGGGAGAGCAGAGATTCAGGTCCATTTACCCATCCACCCAGGTCAGAGCCCAGGACCCTCTACCCAGCCCAGCACCCCCCGCCCGTGCCACCAGACCACCAGGCTGATGCAATCCTGGGACCGTCCTCTCTTGGCAAAGGACAACACGGACAGCAAGCGCTGAGAGAGCCCAATCATACCCAGGGCGCAGCCCCAACTTGCGCAGCACCTCCCAGATGACAGCTGCAGGGGGAGGCAAGAGGGGACAGGGCAGCAAATGAACACAGGGAATTCAGACACTGGCCACCCACTCAGCTGTATGCCCCACCACTCACCCTCACTGGACCGATTTCCATTCATGAAGATGATGCTGAGAAGCACCATAAGAAGACCCAGCTTGGGCGAGTCCTTGGTCCTAAGGGAACAGAGTAGAGAGAAGTTCACGTGCAGGAGCCATCTGTAAGTCACATCAGATTAGCCTCTCCACACACTCCTCAGATATGGCAGGATTCTGCTCAGCCCATGCTTAGAGCTCTATGTGATCCTAGGCAAGACACTAAAGATTCAAGAACCTCAGATTCCAATGTAGTGAAATGCAAAAACCCCATCCTCCTCTCTGTGGTCGCCAAGAAGACGGACGGATGCCTGAAAGCCTGATACAGCACAGGCCCAGAGTCACGCAGGGTTCTTGCTCTCCCAGGCCCCTCAGAGCCCTCCTGACACTAAGAGCCTTTAAGCATAGTGATCTGTGAACAATGAGAAGCCCTCCTCTAAGAGTCATTCTGCCAAGGCCAGGTCAATTACTCAGTCACAAATGGGAAGTGACAGGCCTGCTTTCTTGGAAGCTTCTGGAACAACAGCAAAGCTGACAGCAGGAATGCCCCCATCTCAGGCTCCCACTCTTCAGTCACGATCACGTATCACTACAGCACATGGGATTTGAACTACATGTGGAAGCTATAACAGGGGCTTTTCCAGCTCTCTAAGAGAAGGTGGGGAGAGAAGGCAGGGAAGGTAGGGGTGGTGCCACAGGCAAAAGCAGAAGCCCCTTCCCACCCGAGCCCTGGTCCAGCTTACGTTCCCAGAATGCCTGCATCAGTGGGCTCTAGGGTGCTGAGAAGAATGTACAGGTGGTCATTCTTATCAATTTCCTTCAGCTGAATCCCAAAAACCTGTGGGTGGAGAGAACAGCCCATTAGGTCACAAAAGTCAGCTGCTGGGCATCCTGCATTTTCCTGGGTACCTGAGGCGGAGGAGGGTAGGTGGTGTGTGGCGCGCGCGCGTGCGCGCGTGTGTGTGTGTGTGTGTGTGTGTGTGTGTGTGTGAAAGAGAGAAATCAACAAGATGATGCACATAAAGCATGCAGCTAAGTGCCCAGACACATTAAACATGCAAGAAATGCACTGCCATCTCCAACATCATCTGTCTGTTTAGTGGGGATTTGGGGAGACAGGATGAGTCCAGCAGCTGACTGAAGCTAGGACTAAGTGGGAGGACTTGGCTCCTCTCTGTGCATTCACCACTGATGTCTGTGCGATCTGCAGCTCAACCGTGCCCCTCCCTAGTTCTACCTATATTCCATTTAAGGCTTCCCTACTACGCCCATTCCCCAGGGCTGCCCCTTACCTTCTCCAAGGAATAGCCTGCTCGTTCGATGATTTCTGGGTACACATCAGTGTATTCTTTGATGATGTCCTTCAGCATGTCTGCAATGGGAGAACGTTGCAAGCATGTGGGCTAACAAGAGGACAGATAGCCTCCGTGCCCAACCACGCCATGAGTGGCACAAGCAGCTTGGGAGCTGATCGACCGAGTTACTAGCCCTGCGAAAGGAGACCTTTGGGAGGCAAAGGTGGGAGCCTAACAGCAAGGAGCGGCCCGGTGTGTGAGGGAGAGGATAATGGAGGATGGCGCTGAAGGCAGGACTCTACCTGAGCGCTTGATGGGGATCTTTGTCTGGTCTTTAGCCAGCAGGTACTTCACCAGATCATTTGCCTAGGAAAGAAGGAAAACGTGCAAAAGTCAAAAGCAGCATACAGATGGCGAGAAGACAGAGAAGAGGGCAGGCGAGGCCGCAGAAAAGCCAGAGTCAAAGAGACATGCTTACTCTCCCTTGCAAAAGGGCCACATCCCGAGGTGGAGGCGCTTCGGGCTCCTGGGATGACTGCAGCTTGGCAGCTCTGCGGCGAGCCTTGCCCCTGCGGGCTTTGGGTGATCTCAGCGACAGCAAGGCTCTTCGGGCCCAAGCAGCCAGCCGAGTCCTTGATGCTCTACGGGCCCAAAAAGCTATTGGCCCCCTTGAAGCCCTGCGGGCCATTGAGGCCATGAGAGCCTTCGAGACTCTGCGGCCACCTGTGGCTCCAGAAGCCTGACTCTGGTCACTGTTGCCATCTTCTTCTCCATCCAGATGCTTCACCTGCATCAACGCAGAGGAAGCTCAATGTGAGCAGGGGAAGTAGATGGTCCTTTTCCCTCACCCTATCTCTTGCAGGAAACACCCCCATTCCCAGTCCTGTCGTAGCGGCCTGACTCACTAGGCACTGGTCACGCTGAGTGCTGCCTTTGTTTCTCATCGACTAACGCCGAAGGAGCTCATCAGCGCCCAGGAGCAAGCCAGAGGTGTGGCTCGAGGACTCTCTGTGAACCACTGACTCTGCTTGCAGCACCCTAGACAAGGCACCTGCCTGGGATTCAGCTTCCTTTTCTCTACAAGTGGAGTTCATTATTTTCAAGACCGTGAGCGAATGTGCCTAGTTCAAGACCTACGCCATGGCAGTTATCACAAACACGGAGGGCGTTACATTCCAACTGCAGCTATGCATTTTCCTGTGCAACCCATCCATCAGTGAGCTCTCTCAGCACAGCAGGGCAATCACACTGCTCTCAATGACCCCTACAGCTCTGCGAGGCACAGGAGCTTCCAAGGGGTTTACAGAATGAGGGAGCTAAGCAAAGAGGAGTGGGAAAGCAAGCGGAGCACTGCACAGCTCTTACCTTTCGGGCTTTCTTGGCCTTCACTTTGGGCCGAGTGTCCTGATTCTCCTGAGACTGGGCAGCTGCACCCTCAGGCTCAGCAGGTCCCTGTGCTGGAGCCTGGGGGGCAGGAGGCTCAGACTCTGAGGCCTTTCCTTTAGCATTGACCTTCTTATCAGCCACACAGCTGCCCTTTTTGGTCTCAGTGGCAGGCACCGTGGCAGCAGCCTTTCGGTCAGCATTCTGTGTCTTAGTGTCAGCTGCCGGACTCTTCTTTTCAGCTGCCACAACCTGCGTGTCAGTCAGCTGAGTGGTGGAAACAGCTCGGGGAGCAGCTGCCTCCTGAGCCTTCGGGGCCTTTGAAGCCTCAGTGGCCTTTGACACCCCTGGGGCTTTGGACGCCTTCCCAGCCTGCGAGCCCTTCGCTGCCTTGGAGGTCTTTGGGGTGTCGGAGACCTCCAGTTTCTTGGTCACTGCCAGCAGGCTCTGCATCACTGAGTCACCATCCTTGTCCGAAGCTTCAGCCTGCAAGAAGAAACAGAGTTTCAGAGATCTTCTCCCCATCCCCAACTAGGCAAAAGGATCCACATTTGCAAGACTAGAATCTTGCCACCCGTGCCTAGTCCTATTCACAGTGTGCCAGACCACCTCCCTTTCCTCCGAGCAAGAACGGATGAGAGAAGAGGGGCCCGCTCCCTCCACCACCACCCTTCTCTTCCTCTCTCCCCGTACTGGGAGAGGGAGCACCCAGGCGGGGAAGTGGGTGGAGAAGGACAAGGATGGGAAGGGAAGCACCAAGGGACCGCAGAGGAAAAGCAGCTGGAGAGAGGACAGAAAGAGACCTTACCTGGGAGCGAGTTAAACCCGCACCACTCTCGCTTGTGTCAGACATGTCTCAAGTTGGCCTGGCAAAAGCTGAGCCTGAACGGGAGAAGGCCTGGGTCAAGTGGAGAGCCCACACTGCACGTCCTCCCGTCTGAGCAGCCGAGAGGCTCAGCCTCGCCTTTTGTACAGTCCCAAGCCCAAGCCCTCCCCCACCCCAAACAACTCCGCTCTCAGATACAGGAATCTAGAGCGTCTAGGTCTCAATTCTCTGCAGCCGCACCCTCCCCTTCTCCAGGAAGATGTGCCAGCGCGGCAGCTCTGAGGACCCCGCCCCTTTTCCCAGCGCACCCCCCCACCAGCCGCAGGCCGACAGTGCGCATGCGCGTCTGCTGCAGGCCAGCTCTCAGCCCCGCCCGCTTTCCCAGCACAAGCCCTGTCTTTGATGTGCAACGTGCACATGCGCGTACGGCAGCGGGCCCCGTCTCCGCGCCGGCCCTTCTCAACACGCCCCTTTCTGGAGACACATAGTGCGCCTGCGCAATGGTCACGGTCTCAGTCCAGCACCCTACCCCAATACACGCCCCTCTCCAGGTCCGCAGTGCCATTCGGTCCCGCCCCCTCCCCAACAAACCTCCCTCCCAAACTGTCGCAGCGTCTGGTGGTCCAGGCCCCTCCTCTACTCACACCCACCTCAGAAAAGTCCACAGTGCCTCCCGGTCCCGCCCTTTTTCGTAACACGCCCCCCTCCAAACAGGGGCAAAACGCTTTTTGGTTCCGCCCCTTCCCTATTACACCCCTTCCTCAAATCCGTATTGAACAAGTGTTCCATCTTAAGCCTGGCCAAACTGGGTCCAGTCCCCTCCCTTCCCAGCCGGATGGATCCGGTACGATCCGGTCCTTAAGGCAGGTTTTCTCCAGATCCCAGAGGGTGCGGCCGACCCCTAGCGGGCTCTCATCCAAACCCGGGCCCCGCTACTCACCTCGTCCTGCTCTAATTCCTGAGTGCTTCTACTCGCTCCAAGCCCCTCCGAAACTCGGAGACTGCCCTCCCCCCTCCAGGCCGGAAGTGGTCCCGCCCCTTTCCGCCTCCCTAGGGGGCCTCCGTCCCAGCCTGTCTGCCCCTCCCCCGCTCCCTGCTCCTCATTCCTTGTCCCCCCCTCCGTATTCCCTCTGCCTCACTCCCTACTCCCTAGTTTCCCATCGCATTTCCTATTTACCCCGCCGAATTCCGTGTGCTCCGGAATTCCTTACATCCTCCTCGGTGTTACCTATGCACGACCTCCCCTCAGTACTCCTTCACCCTTCTCTGCATCCCCTATTCTTTTCTCTGAATCTCCACTTCCCTTCGTAGTCCTCGTCCCCCACCGGACATGCCCGGTTCTCCGTTTTCCTCCTTCTTCCTCCTCCTGCTCCTTCTTCTTCTCCTCCAGTCTCTGCTCTACAGTCCATAGAGCCCACTACTTTCTCAGCCGTCCTCATTGCCCACTCTATGCTGTGGGTCACCTCTGCTTCCAGCTGCAGCGGTGCGCAGTAAGAAGTGCCCACCTGCCTGGCTGTGGGTGCGAGTGGGCTGCAATCAGTGCCTGACAACTAGGAAACCCCAATCTCGACCCCTCACCTTGTCCTCGAGCAAGTCCGAGATGCGTCTGCCCTCTCTCAGTCCCTCTCTCGAAGTCTCAGCCTCCTGGACTATAACTGCAGACAGCCCAGCCCAGCCCAGCCCCTTTCCGCAGCCCCCTGCCACCCCCCCTCGCCTTCCTCGGGGGTGGGGCAATGGGGCCCCGCTCAGGGCTGTCTGACGCCAAAGCCCATGTTTATGCCACTGTACCAGGCTCGGTCTGAAGCCCTTCCAACCCAAACCACCCCCTGAAAGCGATTCATTCATTGAACTTATTTATTTTTATACTTCATTTTTTCTTATTACAGAGATAATGTGTTGTCATTGCAAATATTTAAATAATGCAGAAATATGTAACATACCAATCAAAGGCAACCCTTATCTCATTCCCCAGAAATAGCCACCATAAATATTTTGACATGTTCTTCCAGATTTCTTTCTATTCACATACTAATTACTGAAGTTCTCTTCCCATTAATGGTACACTGTATCTGCTGTTTCGTGACCTGTTTTTTTTCCCATCCAGTTACACATTTAAACATCTTTCCCTCAGTACATTATCTTTTCTTACATGAGTGTCCCATAATTTATTTAACCAATTAAGCACACACTTAGAATGTTTCCATAGTTATTTTTTTACTGTTACAAAAAAACAGTACAATCAGCGCCCTGACATTTGTATTTTTTCATTACTTATGCTACTTTTTGCTAACTTTGGTGCAACAAAGTATGTTCCATTTTGATACGGATTTGTCTGTTTACTCCCCAAAAGTACGCAAGATAATACTCCCACCACCAGCATCTCCCAAATGTTTACATGTCACATAATTCAAATATTTTTCATGATTTGTGATGCTTTTTTTACTGTATGAAATATTTAATTGTTATGCATGTAGTCAAATATACCAGTTTTTCCTTTTTCAAAACTAGAATTTGATTCTTGCTTAGAAATCTTTTCCACACTTCTATCTAACCACTTTTATGGCTTGCTTTCGTATAGTCAAATGTTTAATCATTTCATAATTTCTTCATTTTTTCTCATAGCGTCTCACCCCTAAACCATACACAAACTAATCTCGCTCACTGGGTTAAAAATGACATCTCTATCATGGAACAAATCCACATAAGCAATTGGGTCTATTCAAAAAAGCATACATAAGAGGCAAAAAAAAAAAAGAAAAAAAAAGGAAAGCAAACAAAATCATTATTTGTTGTGGAGTATAGGAGTGCTCCTAAGTCTGCTTTGTGAGATCACCTTTTCCTTAACTGAGCAAAGAGAACATTGTGAATCCCTAGGGAGCCTGGATAACTACGAATACACAGCATACGTTTCTCACATCTGTTAGATGGGTCTCTATTCTCCTGACTTTTCTCCTTCTCCAAGTTTGTGATAGCAGCTCGCCATTTTCTTGCGTCTTAGGTTTCCTTCACACTAGACATAGTTTCTTCTCCCAATTCTGATGTACTGAATCCCCATCCCTTCCAAATCATGGCAAGCTTTAAATGCCAAGGCAAGTACTTTGATCTTGATCCTGAGAACAGTGGGAAGTTATTAAAGGGTCCTAGCCAGGAATATGGCATACGCTTGCCTTTTAGAAAGAACGACCTTGCTGTAGGTGAAGTATGGATTAAATGTCTTCTTGGAAACAGGGAGAGTAGCCATGCTCTCTGCAGGCATCCAAGTAAGCATTGTTTGGGGTTTGGACTCTAGTGGGAGCGGTAGATATGCTGAGACAGAGCTGAGTGAGTTCATGAGATAGTCAAGGAGTGAAAAACAACAGCATTCCATGGATGGCTAAACTGTGGCGAGAAGAGCAGGGAAGGAGAAGTGTCAAAGGGAACGCTTAGGGAGCCACTCTGCCCGCTTGTACTTTGATATGGAATACTGAGGGAGGAATAGGTTTGAGAGGGATGGAATATTTCTTTTGAGGCACTAGTGGGCTATCCAGGTAGAAGGATTCCACCAGCATCCTTCTCAAAAAAAATACAATCATGGAAATTAAGCGGTTGGCATTGTGGCACAGAAGGTTAACCACCAGTTGTAATGCCTACATCCCATTTCAGAATGCCAGATACAGTGCTGGGTGCACCGTTTTCAACACGGTTTCCTGCTGATATTTCTGGGAAGACAGCAAGTGATGGCCTAACTGCTTAGGCTTCTGCCACCTATGTAGTAGATCAGAATGAAGTTCAAGGCTCCTGGCTTTAGTCTCATCTAGCCCTGGCTGTTGTAGGTATTAGGGGAGTGAACCAGTGAATGAGATGGAATCTCTTTACATTTATATTTATATTTTATTCATATTTATATATTTCTCTTTCCATGTCACTTTATCTTTCAAGTGAATAAATCTTTAAAAATAATAATAATTAAATGATCAGAAAGTTCATGGAAATGGGTGTTATGGAAGAGCTACACTGAAAGTTTGAAACAATTTTATATCAAAATAAATCTATACTTCAATTTTCCAAGTTTTTGAATGTCTTATATACAGTTGTCTTTAGTCCATCTAGATGCAGCCCTTCACTGTTACCAGATGCACCTTGGCTTCCCTGGTTTAGGAGCCTTCCTCATGCAATTTTTTCCTATGGAACACCCTCTTATTTGTATCCCCATGCCAAATCTACCTTTCAACATTTCAGGTTTTAGCATGCTTTAAGTTCCAATTGGGGCCTTCAGAATCTTGAGGGAACAGAGTCAGAACCTTGGCAGTTACTGTCCGATTCAAGGAACTAAGGCGAAATATCCACCCAAGTCAGTAAAAACAGGCATTCTCAAACACTTTCAAGCCCAAGCTCCCTCAAACCCATTGTACCACCTGTATAATCCAGGACTACAGCACCCTTATCTTATGCCCTGGGGATCAGAAGGGAAAAGGCCTCCTTATCAGGAGAGAAGACAAATTGGTTCACAATCTTCACCCTTTGATGAGAAATTTACACCCACTTTCTCCTTGTGAACCCTTGAACTCTTCTGCTCTTCCACATCTGTGCATAAACTCTGAGGAACCCAGGTCCCTGGATCGGAGCTCCAGCTCCAATGCCTGGGATTATGTAAATCCTGCTTGTCAACTAAAGGAAAACATGAAAAACAGAGTTATCACCAGGCACCACTGTTGAGGATAAGGAAAAGCAAGCTAAAGATTGCTTAATACACGATTGTGGGGATTAAACTTCCTAATCCTGGAGCTCCCGAGAGTTTAGAGCGCTGAAGCTCTCAGCAGAAGCCCAGTATACTTCCACCAGGAAGCCAGTCCTAGCACATTTGCCTTTCCCCAAACCACTAAATCAATGTCTCCGAATTCTTCAGAATTCAGAGGTAAGGTTGGGAGAGGGTAGAAAGGATTTTCTTCTAGGAGTACCTAGTAATCAACTCGAAATCAAACACCAGACTTTCTGGTTCTTCAAATTTCCATAGCCATTCCTACTACTGGGACAGGCCTACTCAACTTTCCCTCCTCCTGCATTCCGTGCCCGTCCGGCCGGTTGGGGCCTCTCTATTCCCCAACATATTGGCAGCTCCATTCCTTTCCATTTACAAGTTCCTGAGCCTTTTTTTGGGGGGGGGGGGATGCTGATGGAATCTTATTTTGTGTGAGTTTATCTTTCCACAATAAAACAACTATATTTTGTAAAACCAAAAGCAAATTTTGCAAAGATGGGGCAATCTGCTACCCACTTTTGAACTAGCATACCTCTCATCCATTTTTTGTTCATTTAGTCCTTCCTCACCACAAACCCGTGAGGTAGGATGGGCCCATTCAATGAAAATGAGCACCAGGCATGTACGAGGCGTGTCTACAGAGTTGTCCTTGAGGGCCTTATGTTTGCATTGCACGGGCACTAGCTTCATTTCAAAGCAGACAACACTGGGAATGAGAGCAGTAACTTGCCCCAAACAAAAAAACTACTGAGCTATTCAAGGGTAACTTGGTCACTGAGCTACCAAATACCAGAGCCTTGAGAACTGTAGATTTCTTCCAATTTTTAAAGTCCCAGAATATTCTTCCCAACCCTTTCCATAGACATATGATCGGCATGTTACAGTACAATTTCCATCTCTGAAGGCAAATCTAACCGGATATCTATGTATTCACTTAGCTATTGTCATAAAATGATATGGGATGTATAGCTATTTCATTAGTGTGATGTGAACATGAGATTTTTCACATTTGATTTTTGTTAAATTCTTAATATTAAATAGTAACAAATCACACAGTAAAGAATAGCATCTGGACAGCTTTTGGATTTAGTTCTACTAGAGAGCGATTCTCTTCATCACTCTAGAAAATACATGTAATGTTCCTTTGTTTCTAAAATCTATGCACACTTTCCCTTCCACTTCCTGCGGTGGTTAACATTGATATTCCTTTGTTTTGTTCTTGGTTAATTTTGTAACTTGAAAAAAATACACTCATAGTTCCGTTTCTTTTTCCATTCATTTTTAACAAATAAGTTCAACTGCCAACTATTTAGGACAAGCAGGTTAGGGTCAATATCCTTCCTCCATTTATTCGATATCCTACATTGTCAGTTTCTTTTCTCTGATCCCATTATGCAGGTAGTTAACATTTTCATTCTGTTCTGCAGCTACTGCCCCATATTCCTCGCTCTGCTTCCCCACGTTGACTCTGAAACCAGAAAACCAATAAACAGCATTTACATTATTATGACTAGGTAAATCTTTTTCAAAACTCAGCCAAGTAGTGAGCCAGGAATACATTTCCTTCTATACAAGCTCATCGTCACAGTCTTTGGACCTCGTGAAGGAGACTGCTTCTAAGATCCAGGTCAAATGGAGTCTCTCTTACACTGCATTAGTTGCTTATCAGTTCACTTTGCCTTATATTTGGACCATGACTTCCTCAAATATTTATAGGGGGGAAGGAGGGAGGAATTAATTTCAACAACATTTTTCCCTTTGAATTTTATATATATATATATATATATATATATATATATATATATCTGTTACATTCCTTCATTCAACAAGTGTTTATTAAGTGATTAAGTGTTTGCTTATGTGCCAGGCACTATTCTAAAAGCTAAAGCTATAACATTGAAGAAGATAGATAGCAATTCTTATTCCAAAGAGAGCTCATTCTAGTGAGAGTGGAAAGATAACGTTATCAGGCATATAAAATATTTAATAAGCTAAAATGTGCGTTAAGTGCTAATGCAGAAAAATTAAGCAGGATAAAAGGGATAAAAAATATAAATGAGGATGGTAGGTTATTTCAGTTTGAAATAGGTTGGCCAAGGAAAGACTCACTGAAAATGTAACATGTGAGCAAAGACAGAGCTAGCCAAGTGTATACCCAGAGAATGAACGTTTCAAGCAGGAAAAAAAAAAAAAAAGCCAGTGCAAAGGCCCTGGGGCAGGTCCATACCTGGCACTTGTTATGTTTTTTCATATCTTACATTTCTGAAGGACATAAGAGGTCAGAGTTGCTGGAGAAGTGGAAGAGGGCAGCAAGGAAAGTAACAGGAAATGAGGCCGCATGGGAATGACAGGTTACCTCACCGACCCTTCTCGCAGAGGGCCCAATGAGTCACACTGGGATCCACAGAAGAATCCTGAGAATGGAGTGCAAGAGGACCTTATCGGACTTAAAAACAGTTTCTATGGCTTTTGGGAAAATATTTTGGGGTAGGGGAGAGGGGTGGGAAGATGGGCGGGAGGGAAAAGCATGAGGACCAGCATGAGAGCTGCTGAAGGAATTACGTGGGTTGGTTGCATAGTTCCTGAATTCGCTATTCCAGGCACCTGTTTGTGAGATGCTTCTTTGGCTATAATTCGGATAATGTTTGTGACGAAGTTTCCTTCCTTGTTTCCATCCTCTTAGTCTGGAACTCCTACTGTTCAGATGTGGAATCAGCTGGACTGATTTATATATCTTAAATGCTCTGTCACATTTCCTGTCTCTCCCACACTCGCCTTCGGAGCATTTTTTTCAATGCTGTTTCCCATTGCTTCCATAGATTTTTTTTTTTTCATTTCAACAACCTATTTTCGATTTCTAAGGAATTTTCCTTTTTCTCTGAACGTTCCTGTTTCATGGCCTCTAGCTCTTGTTTTTATGTGGATTCCATCTTATATCTTTCTGAGAAAGTTAATGTCCCCCTCCCCCCGCCCCCATCCCCCGTAGTTTGCTTTTGTTTCGCAGACTACCATGGGATGAATTATTTTGTTTGTTGGCCGCATTCTTTGGCTCTCATGCTACAGGCTTCCTTCATTTGCTTGGGGATCCTGGCCTATCCATTCATATTTAAGAAAAAAGGACTGTATGCCTGGTGTAGGTTTTCTGTGTTGCTGCGAAGCAGAGTCTTGTGTAAAATGGTCCACTTGGGCCATGTGGCTTTGGGACCTCCCAATCCCAGAAGACTCTGTGGCATAACATCTGTCCTGGGGACAGTTTGTAAGACGTCATCAAGGATGTCGCTCCGGGAGCTCATGTGCCAGAACTGTGAGTGCTCTCTGTGAGTAGAGAGGAGAAAGATTCAGGTTTTCGGTGATGCTGGTGGCCCCTGGGTGAGCCTTCGAGTTCTCTGTTCTGAGTCACCTTCCTCACTGCCACTCTCCATGGGACCCACAGACCCTGCATCCAGAGCACCTCACCTCGGCACCTCTTCCACTGCTCCCCACTCCAGGTCTCCAGAGAGCTTCCCAAACTTTCAAATCTGCCATGCCTCACACTACTCCTGTCCTAACAGCGATTCACGAATTGTTCACCAAAGTGCCAAGCACACCGACTCCCTGAGTCTTCACAACGCTTAATTCAGTAGGTTCCAACATCACCCTCATCTGACCGATGAGGAAACTGAGGCTGCTGAGAGGCATGACGATTCACCCAGGATTGCAGATTCGGGAAGCGGCAGAACTGAGCCTCCAACCCAGCTGGCCTGAATCCGAGCCAGTATTCTGAACCACTGCACTGTATTCTTTCTGAGCCCTGCTCTAGCCTGCCTTGGCCTCACACTCTTGCGGACTTCACTCTCCTGTGTGTGGAATCCCGAAACCAAATAAGTCAGGAGCAAAAAGGTTCAGGACTGGGAGCTCACCTCGCCACTGCCTTTCTCATCTCTGCTACCTTTTTAAGATGACTCGTGCTAAGTGACCTTTCTCTGGCCCCAGTTACTGGGCTCCGGTGGATGTTTATAGGAAAGAAAAACCCCACCCTGAGCCAACATAGCAAACAGACAGACCCGGCACTCTGGTATGTTTAGTTTCCATTCATCTTACAGCTGGATGAGGGAAAAAGAGAGGCATGGAACTGGCCCTTCTCCAGGCAAGATGCCAGCCCCAGCTCTTGGACAATCCTGGCTTGTGTGGGCCTCAATGCCACATTCAGAGTCTTCCCCACCCTTCAGGATGGTTCCTCCCTCTCAAGAGAAGGGATACCTGGAGGTTTAAAAGAGCAAGAGTTTGGAGAGCCAGCTCAGACCTTCTGGGGTGGCATGATGTCTGGGTGCGGGTGCCTCCGCTGTGGCAGCTTCCTACTGATCATTCTCTTTGAGCTGACCAACCAGGGACCTCCCGGCCCCCTCTCATCAAGCACGAAGGTCAGTTCTGGGATGAGGGAACAGAGCTGTGGGGTTTATGAGAAAACTCGCTCCTTGGAGGGACTAGAGGAAGGTAATCCAGACTTGCTTCAGGCTTATTGCTGAGAAATTCAGGTCAGAGGAAATAGTCACTACTTGGTGAGCACACGCCATGTGCTACCCCGGGGGTCTTAGAGTCAATCATTTCTTCGAGTTCTCACAGCTTCCCTGCGAGCTAAGGCCCTATTCTTAGTCCCCTTAACATGTGTGTGGTGGAGGGGGTTGGGGATAGCGGTTAAGAGCTTATGACACAGGCCAGGAAGTGCAGAACCAGCATTTCAACCTAGGTACATCTGATCCCAGATGAGCCTTATTTCCCACCACTCCACACTGGAAGCAAGCTAGACGTATCTCCAGTGTGGTTAGACGGAGGGAATCTCTACCTCAGACAAGGTGTGGCCTCAGTCTTGGGGCCTCGGTGAGCACATCTGCTTACAGATGTGGCCTTAACAGTATCTAGTTCAAGGGTTCACAAGAGGAGCAAATAAGATCATGTGATTTCTTTTTTCCCAACTAAGGACCTAAAGAGAAAAAAACAAATCTCAACATTTACCGGGGCAGGGCTCAATGAGTGGGAGCCACTCGGTCGCATTCCAGGGTGAGCTCCTCAACCCGGCAACTTCAGCCTCCTCGGGGACTTTGTTAAAAGGGGAGAATCTCAGGCCTCAGGCCAGACTTGCAGGATCAGAGTCTGCATTTTTGAACAAGATTCTAGGTGATTCGTGTGCAGGTTAAAGTTAGAGGAGCACGTGTCCAGGGGTCCCTTGGTTAGTGAGCTTCTGTGAGTTTTCAGTCTGGAGACTTCATAAAGCTCACTGCAGTTACAGGCAGGTTCACTCCATGGATTACAGACATGGGAAATGCTATTTTCCCTCTCTGGGCCTCAGTCACTTCACCTGTACGCGGACACCTGCTCAGGAACCCTGGCTTGTCATCGGTCCATCTAGGTCAAGGACAGAGTCTACCTGTAACTCACCCGGTGTCTCCTTTCACAGCTGGTGCTGACAAGTTATTCCGTGCGTTCCACAGTGGTATCTCGCTATGCCCACACCTTGATCACTTCTGTCCTGTTCAACCCACATGCTGAGGCCCATGAAGCCATCTTTGAGCTGGATCTGCCTTGCCTCGCCTTTATCTCCAATTTCACTATGTAAGTTTGCTTCCAAACCCATCACATCACTCATCTGTGCATCCATTCACACCTTCCTTTATTTCTTCTGTCAGCAGAGCACGGTGATTAAGGAAATCTACTCTGAGATTAGACTTGTTGAGTTTGAAGCGTTGGTTTCTCCAGCCATGGAACTCAGGGGAAGTTATCATACTTCTAGGAGTCTCATTTGTACATCTAAATAAAAGTGGGAATAAGATTAGAACCCACATGCAAGGAATTAAGTGAATCAATGTATAGATAAATGAATGCTAAACTGATAATATTAGTTTTATTATTTGTAAGTAAACATTTCCTGATGCTGAGACTGCATGACTTATACTGGGGTGGGTACAAAGGAGAGAGGAAGGTGAGTTGCTTACAGTCCCTGGTCCCAAAGAATTCACATGTGAAAAAGGAATCAGATGAGTTTAACAAACTATATTTGGGGAAGAAGAACTCAGAATGTAGAATGGCTGAGCTAATCAGAGGACCGTGGTCGGTTTCATACCTCAGGCAGTCGAACAACATGGCACAGAGATGACATGTAAACTGAGGCTGGATATATGAGCTGCTCACCAGCCAGGCAAGAGAAAGGCACACATGTTCTCTCACTGGGAAACTGCATGGGTTTCCATGTTACAGGGACAGGCAAGGGGTAGAAAGGTGACCAAAAATGAGACTTGAGAGAGAGGAAAGGACGAGGCCTTGGGTGGCTTCCAACACTAGAACAACTATTTGGATCTGACTTACTGGTCTGCAAACCATCTTACGGGTCTGCCCACCTATCAAGAAAAATTCCCAAAGTATGTTGATTTATTAATGTATACATTATACATACATATAGATATACACACATATTACTGCAAAGGTATTAGGTAAATTAGGAAGCAAGCATACTTGTGTAGACATAAATGGTACAAGAATGCTCTATAAATAGTGTTCATAACTTTTCCCACCCTGGATTTGTCTCCAGTATCCCCTGGGGCCTGTGCACCCCACTTTAGGAATAACCACAGCCCGCCATGAGGCTATATCACAGGGTTGTGAGCAAACAGTGAGGTTGGTGAAGTGGGAGTGGAGAGGAAGAACTGCAAAGCTCACATCTGAGCAAGAAAATGGGTGCAGAGCCCACTGAGGAACACGTGAGGCCGCAGCAGGATGCTGGGCCATGAGCCATCACGAGAGGGAGAGACGAGCTGACTGCGTAGATCAGGAAGAGAAGAGACGCGGCCTACCTCTTTAGGACTTGTCCAACATGCTAGATGACAGTACCTGTCATGAACAAAGGAAGTGAAGAGGTGATGAACAAAGGAAGCTGAAGCGAACTTTGATGGGCTCTCATTAACCTGGTTAACATCTGAGTAGGAATCAGGAAAAGACCTCTTGCTTTGGTAGAAGAACGCAGATGTAACAGGTTAGTGAGGCCCGCTCAGGCTGAACCTCTACCCTCAGTCAGCCTCCTTTCCCAGCATTCATGTTGGAAGGAGGTTGTTGTGCAGTGAACAGCACGTGCACCCTGAGAGAGCAGCCCTGGGGCCTGTGGCATGCTGGGAAGAACCTGCTGCCATTGTCCTAAAGAGTGGATTCATGGGAGGAGGTGATGGATGTGGAGTGAGGGCGGATAGTTCAGAGGAGAGGAATTCAGGTAGTCAAGGAGGGCTTCCTGGAAGCAGAGTTTCCAGATGGGTAAAAATGTGAAGGAACCAAGATCTTTGTGCATAGTTGCAGGAACACAGAGAAACAAGCTGACAAAAACAAGCAGGCATGTGTCGGGGGGTATGGGGGCTAACCAGAGAGGTGGACGGTCAGATGATTCAAGGGCCAAGCAGTTCGACAGAATTTAGATTCTTGCTTCAAAAGAAAAAAACACCAAAAGAATTTTTAAAAAAAAATTAAGAAAAGCAGGCTGGAGGAAATGTTCTTGGGCAGACTCTGTGGAAAGTATGCTGGCTGGAGGCAGCATGCACACAGAGGTCCCAGTGTGCTGCTGCCAGAGCAGCTCCACCCTCCCCCCAACCCCCCAGGAGACCTTGGGGCCCTGCCAGCTCGGCCCACCCCCACACTAGCCTAGGCCAGCAACACTGCTTCAGCTGTCTGGAAACACTTCTCGCCTGAGTGGTCCCTTCGGAGGGCTGCAGCTCCTTCCCTGGTGTTCCTGGAAGCTGCTCAAGTCATTTTCTTGGTATTTGTGCCTCAGTGACTCCATTTGTAAAATGGACACTATTGCATTTGCCTCCCACAGAGCTGCCTCGATGTTCTTTAGCCAGTTCCGACCCATTGCTCATCTTGACAAGACTGATCCATAGCTCCCCATTCTCCGTCACCACAAATTCCCGCTGCTGTGGATGAGCTTGTTAAGTCTTGTGTTCAAAGCCAGTTGGTTCCTTGTCCTATCCACGTGGTCCCCACGCCTCTGGTTGCTACCGCCTCTCTTCCCTTGTTCTTTGAAGCACAATGTGTGTTCCCGCTGTCTGTTCTGGATACCCTGGCCAAAACTAATCGTTGAGTGCCTATTGCATTCTAAGCCATATTTCACCTACTTAGCATACAGCAGGAAATAAAACAGGTGAAACTCCTGCCCTCAAAGTAGCTCGGTGGAGAAGACAGTCATGCGGAAAAAACAGTCACATATATCCGTGTCGCTCTGAATAAGAAGTGTTACAGACAAGGGCTCTTGCTGTGGCCAGTAAAGCTACCACCTGGGATACCAACTTCCCGTATGAGTACTGGTTCGAGTCCCAGCTGCGCCACTTCTGATCCAGCTCCCTGGTAATGGCCTGAGGAAGAAAGCAGAGGATGGCTCAAGTGTTTGGGTGACCCATATGGAAGACCCAGATGAAGCTCCTGGCTCCTGGTTCTTGGCTTTGGCCTCATCAAGACCCAGTCATTGTGGCCATCTGGGGAGTGATCGAGCAGATGGAGGATCTCTCTCTCTCTCTCGGTAATTGTGACTTTCAAATACAGATTTAAAAATAATTACTACAAATAGAAAATGGAGTCAAGGAAATAGTGTGTGTTGGTGGGAGAAGGTGTTATTTTAGAATGAGTGACAGGAAGGGTAAGAGGAGGGTACGTGACCATAAGACGGCTTTCACTTTGGCTTTTACTCTGAGTCAAGATGGATGCCACAGAGAGTTTTGAGCTAACAGAATATCTGAGACTGCTGGGAGAACAGACTCCAAGGCAGCAGGGATTTTTAAAAGGGAGGCCACTTATTCAAGCCAGAGATGGTGGTAGTTTGGGCCAGGGCAATCATTGTAGGCGTGGTGAGAAGTGGTCACATTGTGGATATATTCTAAAGATAGAGCCAAAAATTCCTGATGGATTGGATGGGGAGTGTGAGAGAAAGAGGGGAGTCAAGCATGACTCTAAGGACTATTAAGCCAAACAACTACTTCCTGAGATAAGGAAGATGAGGGGTGGAGCAATGGAGATGGGGAGATACTTGGAGCTCCATTCTGAGCATGTGAAGCTTGAGGTGCCTATGGAGCATTCTAGAGTGCAGATGCCAGGGTAATCAATTGGATATATGGGCCTGGAGTTCAGGGGGCAGATCCACACTGATGATATGGCTTTGAGACTCATGTGTGTGTACGTGGTATTTCAGGCCATGAGGCTAAATGACATCAACAAGAGAGTGAAGAACAGAGGAGGGGGAGGGAGGGCAGGGAGGGGAAAACAAGGGAGGGAAGGAAAGGTTAAGAACAGATTGTTGGAGTGTTCCAAAGATTTAGAAGTCAGGAAGAGAAGGGGCCAGCAGAGGAGACTGGGAAGGCCTGGCCAGTGAGGATTATTTATCCATATCCTCCCTGTCTTTCAGGCCCAGCTCCAAAGCCACGTTCTCTAGGACACTTTCTTGAATGCAGGCAAAGTATTCTCTCTCTTCGTTGAACGCCCTTCCACTTTATTATCTGCCTTACAAAAATGAGCAAAACAAGGACAGGCAAGTCTGTTTGTTACCCATCAGCCTCTAAGATCCCTGAGGACAAGCCCCCTCCCTCCCTAGCCAGGCCCAGAGGAATTTGCAGCAATTTACACAATACTTTCACAATTTTCACGGCCTGTACCCCCCACACACACACCACATAATTTATGTAATCTGTTTCTCAAAAAATATATATGTATTTCATAAGATTATCTCAGGCTTATCCTAAGCAACAGTATCTGTGGTTTCATGGGTTCAATGTACTAGCTATATTTTAAAATAAACATTGCAGTAACACCCTCCAACATATTTTGTGTGCCAAAAGGTGGAATCTATTCAGTATTGGAACATACGCTTCTCCATATGCTGTGTGGTCTCTATTTCTTCACTGAAAGCTCCTTCACCCCGTTTTATCTCCCTCTCCTCGCTTCCTTTCTTGTTCAGGATTTATACCATTTTGTTCATTTTTTTTACCTCATTCTCATGCTCCACCTATTCCTTCTTTGTTCACTTGACCCATCCCTGTGTTTCCTCTCCTTTCTGACTTCAACCATTTCTATGTTTTTTCCCCTGATTCAGCTTTCTCTTCTTTTTCTCTTATTCTTATCCTGTCAGGACCATCAACAATAAAGTGTACATTGCAGAAGTCAAAGAGAAGAACCAGGCCAAGAAAATCTATGAGGAAGCCCACGGGCAGGGAAAGACAGCTGCCCACGTAGGCGTCAGGTAAGCCCCTGTGTGGTCTGTAGCATGACTCACTCAGCTGAATGACAGGGAAGACACGTGTTCACTCTGATTCTCAGTCTGCCCATCTGCAAATGGGCACAATGATCTCTCCTCCATCAAATCTGTGGAAGTGATGGGAGTTACTGATTGTGAAAGCCCGGAAGAGACGAGGTGTTCAATGCATGGGAGTTTGCTTCCTTATTTCCACTTTCCCCCTCACTCCAAGGGTGCAGCTTCTTTAAGCACTTGCACCTTCTGGGAAGGTTGCATGAGCAGGAAAGTTTTCTAAACTGAATCCTGTTTGCTCACAGTGTTCGATTCAGCTGGCATGAACGTATTGTCCTCTTTTGAGTGTTTTCTCACAGCTTCCAAGAGTGTTTCATCAAGCAGGAAAACTTTAGATTTGGCGGCTGTAACCTAAAGAGTTGCTGCCATCAAAACAAGCTTGTTCCAGTACGTGGGGGCGGGCCGGGTCTGCGAGACTGCAGGGGAAGAGGCACTGTGCACAAATTGCAAATTCTTTCTACAAAACGACTCATCGGTCCATAAATTGTTCCTCTCAAGACTCAGTTTTTCCCTGACTGACTTTTCCTCAGGGTGAGCTGCCTGGGATCATTTTTCAGGCAGAATATTTAGGAGGACAAACGAGGGAGGGACAGAAATTGAAGAGAAAGATGAAGAGATGGTTGGCTCGAGGCCAGGGACTAAGTTGAAGCACACTGTTCAGGTCTCTGGGGACTAAGATGGGGATGGGGGGGTCACTCGAACACGGACACCCAACAACTGGTCAACTCCTTGGGGGCTTCCCTCCGTAAGCCACCTGCTTCCTTTTCCTTGTGCAGGCTCCGGGAATCAGAAAAGTTCCGCATCTCCACCAGCCTGGCAGCGGGCACACAGGTGACTTTTGCCTTGGCCTATGAGGAACTGCTACGGCGACAACAAGGCCAGTACCAGCTGGTGGTGAACCTGAAGCCTGGCCAAGTGGTACCCAGACTGAGTGTGGAAGTCATGGTGTCAGAGAGGACGGGCATCAACTTTGTGCAAGTACCACCACTAAGGAGCAGTCACCAGAGCACCAAGGATGACTCACGTATGTGCCACCACAGGGGCCTTCCTGAAATGACAACCAGTCCCTCTCAGATGTCTTTCACTCCAGGGCCACTTCTGCCCTGGGCTCCCTTGCCAGTTCCTTTGCAAGGCAGGGAGAGGTGAAGATACAAATTGGGTACCGTTTTGACTTGCTTTTTCAAGACTAATGAGAGTGAACATGGGACAAATGTCCCAAAGTCTAGATGACTCCTATTCATAAATACCAACAGTGGGGAAGAGGGTGTTGGATGGGCTTCTGAAATGTTCTAGCAGAGAGGAGAACTGCAAAGGCCATTATTCCACTGGACTCTGCTTCGCCCAAGAGACACAATATGAAAAAGTTCCGCGTGCCTGGCAACCTTGACCAGTCCCGTGGAGTCTCTAGAGAGGTGGTCTGCCCACCAGGCTGACATCTAGTACATCCCATTTAAGGCAGAGCTGGTGACACCAGCATTGCTACACAAGCTGTGAAGTGATGGAGGTGGTGGTACACCCAGGAAAACACATGCTAAACCGGTGGAGGGAACTACAGTCGCAGGCAGGGAGCAAAGTCACTAAGTAGGGACCACACATCGTCTGAGAGGTGGTGGGTAAGCAAGAGGGCAGCTGCAGCTCCCGCAGCCACTCATACCAGGCTTCAGGCAAGGAGGGCTGGCCAGTGGTACCCTGGGATAGCAGAGGGCAACAGGGTGGACACGCTGCAGGCAGACAGAAACATGGAGTGCCTTCACATCCCAGCTGCGGTGAAACCCCACCAGAGTAAGAAACTGCACTGCTCTGTGTCCTTGGCCCCTTCTGCGCTGGGGGAGGTGCCAGCCATGGCCCAAGGCCAAGGTGGGAATGTGAGAAAAGCCCTCCCTCCAGATGTCTGGGTGCATGGTGAGGCAGCTTGCAAGATAAGCAGCCAGCACAGCCTCAGGCAGTACGCAGGCAGCCCAGTATGATCCCCAACTCCACTGCATGCAGTTACACATGGGTTCAGGGGCAGAGTGACAAGCAGCCGGTGTCCAAAACTAAGGATGAGGAAACGGAGGCAAAGAGAGAGAAAGAGCCTAGGAGAGGACTCCAACAGCCAAGGTGCTAGGGGGGACCTGGACCCTTGGGCCCCCCAGGGCCTCACAGCCTGCACAGGAGCCCCAGCTATAATTGGCAGTGCCCTCCCCCTTCTCCTTAAAGGTCCCAGCCAAGGGAGAACCAATCCTGTGGGGACAGAGCAGAACAAAGAGCCCGAGGAGGAAGGAAACGCAGGGAATGGATGTGAGCAGGCGCCTCTGCGAGTCTGGGGGCTCCTGTGCCCCTCTGCTTCCTGACAGCTGGGGCAGGAAGGAGGGGAGCAGGAGCCCCCAGTTTCCCCTGTCAGGAGAAAAGAGGCACAGAGACGCTTGTAAAAGGACATTTGTGTCGCACTCAAATTCCAGCACAGTTGCTCTTGTGGCCGGCTCAGCAAACATCCGGGACCAGAAAGTCATCAGTGATGTCACGAGCGGCTCAGAGGCTTGTTCCCACACGTGATTGAGAGAGTTGGGGAGAAAGCTCCTGAAACCCTATCCCGGAGGAGAGGCTCTGGGCTGCTGCTTCCCACAGCCAAGAGGGGTGGGAAGACACCCAGGCCCTGTTGGACACACAGGCCACTAGCCTGTGGGGGCAGCCCCAGGCCTTGTGTGTCCCCACACACAGCTGGCTGCCCTAGGTCCTGTTATCTACCTCTGACCAATAAACAATACTGCCCGTGGGGGCAGTTCCAGGCCCTGGTTTGTCTGTCCCAGCACACAATACCCTGTCTTCTATCAAGACACACAGCCCGCTGCCCTGTGGGGACAGCTGGAGCCCCTGTGTTCCTTCAGTCCCAATACACAGCAGCTGCCCTGTGGGAGCAGCCCCAGGCCCTGTCAGCCCTGGGGACCCTGACACACAGGCCCGCTGCCCTGTGGGGACAGCCCCAGGCCCTGCCTTCTCTCTGAAACCATACTCAGCCACTGTCCCGTGGGAGGAGCCCCAGGCCCTGTTTGTCCCTGTCCCAGCTTACAGCCCGCTGCCCTGTGAGAGCAGCTCCTGGCCCTCTTGTGTGTCCTGCGGCATAGCCCGTTGCCCTGTGGGGGCAGCCTCAGGTCCCACTCTGGCTGGGCACAGACCCGGCTGCAGCATCTGGGACAGGTTGAGCAGAGGGGCACAGGGAGAGCTTAGCACTGAGCTCAGGCTGCCAGGGGCCAGGAGTGGAGCGTGGGGCTGGGTCAGCCAGGGTGGGCTGGGTGGAGGAGGCAGAGCAGGAGCTGGCTGCAGGACTGAGAGAGGATTTGGGCATGCGCTGGGCAGGTGGCAGCGGGCAGCAGCAGCAGCAGGCCCAGGAGCAGCAGGAGGTGTGAGGGGTGCGGCCTGTCAGGGAGCCCTGGTGCTGTCCTTGCTTGTTCCTGCCCCAGCTGTTCTGTGTGCTGAGCCCTCCTTGCTGCCCTATCCCCCTGCAGGCCAGGCTGACTCGCCCCCGTCGACGAGGGTGGAGAGGGGCCAGACCTGTGTCCGAGTCACCTTCTGCCCGACGTTGCAAGAGCAGGCTGCCTTCTCCAGCGCAGGCCTCGCGGCTGACTTCGTGGTCCAGTATGATGTGGCCATGGAGGCTGTCGTGGGCGACGTGCAGGTGAGGGGCCCTGGGTGGCTGACGGAACATGTGTGATGGGGTACCATGGGCTGCACGAGGATCTGCCCGGAGGGTGCTGCGGGTTGTACGTCGTCAGGACAGTCAGTGTGAAGGTTTGGGGGCTGCCAGGTCCGGAGGCCCATGAGCATGCAGACAGGCTGTAGGTATGGCTACCGAAGGTGGCTCCTGCAACATCAGCTGGCCCTGTTACTCAGAGTGCAGCCCCTGAGAAGCGGCCCTCCAATCGCCGCTGGTTGGCGGGGCTCGCCCTTGCTGCCAGGCCATCTGCCCTCAAAGCTCGGGGTCCTGTTTGGGCCACCTTGCTGTGCTTCAGCTGGGACAGGTACCCTGGCTGCCCAGAGCGCGCCTGCCATGTGAACAAGTCACAAGGCTGCGCTGTCAGCCCCCACTCCTGAAGACAACCTGGTGTTCCCGCAGCTCATACAAGCAGACCAGGAGGTGAGGATGCAGGTCAGAAGGAGGCTGTGGGGGTGGAACCTGGTGTCCCTCAGCAGTGTGCTTTCTCCAAGGAGACCTTGGGGTGCTGGTTCACACCGCACCTGCACCCTAAGTGGAATACGCTGCGCATAGGAGTAAACATGAGCCTCAGCCAAGTCTCCTGTCTTTGTGTGTCCCACATCACCCCAGCAGAAGCCCCCAGTACAACCTCACAGTCTCTCAGTGCATGCCATGTGAGCAAGAACAGCATGCCCCCAACTGTCAATTGGCACATGCCCTCATTTACAAGCCTAGCTGAGTCTCAGCTCATGTGCCTAATGGAATGGCTTTACCCAGTGTCTCAGGCCCAGTGCTGGTGACATCGGGGGCTTGAAGGATGTCACACACAGCACCCAAGCTATTGTCCGTGGGTAACTGAGAAGTGCCTTCATGAGGGACAGTATAAGAGGTGACAGAAGCAGGAGAAAAGATCCTGGCAGTCTGCCTGGTGGAGGGCAAGGCTGACTTGGGACTTAATGCGCACCCTGCTGCACATGAGGGGTAGAGAGAAGAGGCCCTAGCACTCTATGTCCGACCCATCCTGCAGCCTGCGGGGTCTGCGAGCAGAGACCCTGGCTGCAGAATGGCAGGGCAATGGGGCAGAGGGCTAGAGAACCTGCAGTGCATGCCAGACCACCTGGAGCGTGCCCTGTGTGTCCAATGGCTGAGAGAGACGAGGGATTTGGCGTGGAGGGGCACTTGTGGGGTCCTCACTGTGGACACGCCGCAAAGCCTACAGCATTAGGGCATCACCCCCAAGCTAGGAGCAGGGCACCTGCAGCAGTACCACCCAAGAGGATCCTAGGTGGTTTCTGATGAAGACAGTTAATGGCTAAGCACAGCATCCAAGGGCCACTGTTTCATCAGGAAACCATGACTAGAGTGGGACAGAGAGCAGCAGGGGTCTAAAGTGACACACAGATGAACCTCAGAGGATGGTGCAGCCCATGATGGGCAAGGCACACAAGGGATCCTGGCCGGAAAAAAAGGATCTCATATGAGGGATGCCAGCTGGCAGACAGGAGCTCACGCAACGGGAAGCTGGCCGGGGACAAGGAGCTCACTGTTTGGAGAATATGGCGCTGGGGGTGCCGTGATGTCTCCTCATTCCAGCACAGTGGTTGATGGAATGCGTTGACCACCTTGTGGGGTATAGAGTGCTCCCTGCAAGTGCTGAGTCCTGGACAGCACTGTGTCCCTTAGGCAAAAGGTCTGGATGTGAACATGAGAACCCAGAGGGAGCAACTGGGAGCCACTGCACCGGGCAGCAACCAGCACTACCCTGAACGTCAGGGGCCCCTACAGGGAATGCAGCCCCATTGCCTCCACTGAGTTCTCCCAGCATGCTCTCCTATGCCCACATGGTGAGCTGCCCCACAGTGGGATGCACATAAGCACTGTGACAGGGAGACAGCGGCCAAAGATCCGGACGTCCTGGGGGCCCTGGCTGAGCAGCGGCCTAGAGGAAGCTGCATCCCTGTGGGAGAGTCCCAGGGAAGGGGCCTCTGCAAGAAAGCGGAAGTGACTATCAACTGGGAAATACATCAGGGGGTCGGGTCCACAGAGACTCAGAATCCACGCATGGAGCTCGCAGACTCAGTTCAAGTCCTAGCTGGCTCCAGGGCTCAAGAGACAGGCGTGGCCCTGAGGCTGGGCTGGTGAACGTCCTGGAGGCGGCCAGCCGACTGCTGCGCAAGCCACCAAGCCGGGGGCCCGAGTCCTGCGCCAGGAGCCTGCTGGTGAGAGTTTCAGGGGTTCAGGCACACGAGGTTTTGTGGGTGGAAGCAGAGTTCTCTGTCTTTCCATGGAAGTGAAAGGCGGGTGGGTGCAGACTGGGGCATGAGGCACGGAGACGCTGGTACTGACACAGAGAAGGGCCAGGCTGGGGTGCCAGGGTCAGAGCAGTGTGTGTGGACTCCAGCAGAGGCAGTGGGCAGCTGGGATGTGGCTCCTGTGGCAGGGAGGGCTGCGGAGTCCAGATGTACATACCGTGAGGCCCCCACCTTCTCCCAGCGTGCAGGGGTGTGTGGGTTGGGGTGTGTGGGGAGAGGCCCTTGAGAGGTGGGTGGGCAGGGCCCTTCTCTGTGGTCATGGGATGGAGTGTGAGAGAGGGGCAGTGAGGGCAGCATGGGGGGCAGCTGGGCAGGACTCGCAGTAGCCCCAGCTGCCAGGTGTGGGAGGCAGGCAGGAGGCCAGCTGCTGTGTGCTTGGCTCAGGCGGGGGCAGGGGGCATGACGCAGTCTGGGGAAAGGTTATCCGTGGCTGGATTAAGTGGGGATGGGAGCTGCACCTGTGTGTCTGCATTAATTGAGGTCTGGCGGGGCAGAAAGGAGCACGCTGTCCTCTTTTTGCCCACGAGACCGGGAGAGGCGAAATCCAGGCACGTGTTCGGCGAGAGCCTGCGGGGCAGGGGCTGGCCAGGCCTGTCTCCCTGGGCAGAGGCCGCATGTGGCGGTGCAGGACACAGACCCCCGCGGCCCTGGCTGAGCTGCCAGCGGTGTGAGGGGCTCTGGCAGCGGGCCCTCCCCTCAGCTGCCCCAGCCCCCAGGCTGTGCAGAGGCAGAGATGGAGTGGAAGGAGGGATCGGAGCCAATCCTGTCCAGGGCAGCCCAAGGCATCTGTACCTGGTGCAACCAATCCCCTCTGAACAAACAGCACGCTCAGCTGCTGCTGCCGCCTCCCCTGCCTGCTCTGCCCAGCAACAGCAGAAAGCAGGTTCCAGGAGGGAGGCCCTGCGTGTTCCCAGCCCCTGGCAGCAGAGAGCGGGGGCCCCCGGCTCCCCCTAGCCAGGGAGGTTAAAACAATACTTATGGTGCCTGGAGTCCAGGCACGGTGTCCCCAGGGACCCTCGAGCCTGCGCAAGCCCAGCTCTCTCACGGACGGGAACTCACATGCTGCCCAGATCCTGACCCCTGGAGGCCCAAGCCCCCTCCACTCTCACTCCCTCCCAGCCCCGGGCAGCCCTGGGCTGAGGGTCTCCCTCACACACGCCAGGGGCCTGGGGCTGCTGCAGGAGGTGGGAGCACAAGCAAGAACAGGCCTGTGTGTGCTTCAGGTTCAGGCGGGGGAGTGAGGGCGGCGTGGCCTTGACCGGCTAGCCTTCCTGCTTTCCCTCTCTCCCTCCAGATCTATGACGGCTACTTTATTCACTACTTTGCGCCCCGAGGCCTCCCACCCGTGGAGAAGAACGTGGTGTTTGTGATTGACGTCAGTGGCTCCATGTTTGGGACCAAGATGAAGCAGGTAACGAGGACCCGGGGACCTTGCTGTTCCCGTCTTAGCAGGCCCTGACGGCCAGAGGCTGGGACGGCGGAAGCCCGGGACCAGAGGTCCCCCCTCGATCTGATGGGCATGGCTCCACATCGGGGGCCCGGTGCCCGTGGGACAGGACCTCATGTGCCTGGAGCCTTTGATGCATTGCTCCACGGGGCCTGGCGTCCTCAGGACCCTCCACCATGCAGCCCAGGGCATGGAAAGTCCTGAGATGAGAGATATGGCTGCTGGAGAGTCACACGCCCTCATTCTCCTAACATCACACAACCCCGGGTCACAGAGACTCTGATCTTATCGGAGACCTAGATCCCTTGCCTTTGGCCACTGTCTCTCTCACAGACTGCTGGGACAGGCGCTGGCATGACGGGTCAGAAGCCCTAGGGTGCTGAGACCACATGCTTTTCTGCTTAGAGCACCTTTCCAAGGCTCCCTCAAAGCAGAACAGGGCACCGCATGCCATAGGGACTTTGGTGATTGAGCCTGAGCCCTAAGGAACATGGCAGACCCTGCCCCTGGGGACAGTGTCCAAATGTCAGGGGTCAGCGTCCCCTCGTGCCGGACAGCTTCCAGCCTAAGCTAGGCTGAGTCCTGTTCAGCCAGAGACTGACTGCCGGCTGTGGCTTGGGGACTGCCCAGCTGCTGCTGCTTTGGCTGCAGGGTCAGGGAGCACACCACCCAGCCGCAGCTTCCTCTGCTTGTCTGGGGAGGGGACAGAGGCTGGGGAGGCTGGGGAGTGCACTGAGCAGGGCCACGGTGGTCCTTAGGCTGAGTCCTAATTATAGAGTTCCCACTGCTTTCTCTCCCCTCACACTTCAATCCCTTATCTACAGTTCCCGTGCCATAGCTGGAGTCAGCGTGGACAGAACGCAGAGCTGACGATGCCAGTTAAGACAACAGCCCTCCCAAAGCCCGTGACTCTTGGGGAGACAGAACACAGCATCTGGTAGTCCGTGTAGCCTCTGACACTTGCAAGTCCTGCAAGTGACCAGCACAGCCTTTCCCCCTTGCCTGGGGCATGGCAAAGCTCCCTGGTGCATCCGCTGGCCTTGAGGTGCCCCTCCGGGCCTCACCTCTGCTTGTCCCATAACCTGGGAGCATGGCAAAGGCAGAAGAGCTGAGAGAGAGGAAGCAACATCAGAACGAGACTCTTCTATCAGAGGTGTTGGCAGAATCACTTCAGGAATTGCTGAAAGGGGGCTTTTAAAGAAAGATTTGTTTAGTTTGGGTTTTGTTGTCATCATTTTCCATGATGCAGTTCTGTTTGTTTATTTTGAAAGTCAGAATTCCAGAGTAGGAGTGGTGGCAGTTGGAGGAGAGAGAGAGAGACAAGATAGAGAGAGAGAGAAGGGAGAGCTCTTCTCTCTGCTGGTTCGCCCCGCAGTCGGCTATAGCAGCCAAGGCTGGGCCAGGCTGATGCCAGGCACTTCACCAGGTCTCCCATGAGTTCAGGGCCCAAGTGCTTGAACGTGTTCTACTACTTGCCCAGGTTCATCTGCAGAGTTCTGGATTGGAAGTGGAACATCTGGCTCATGAGCTGCCTGTATGGAATGCCTATTTTGCAACCGGCAGCTTATTCACTATGTCACAATGCCGGCCCCCAGACCATGATTTTGTTTCAAGTATGGCTTGTATGCCAAGTGCTGTGATGGAAACAAGGGCCATGCGGGTAATACCGGCAGGTTAGGAAGCCCTAGGAAAATCTCAAGGAATGCTCACATCACAAAGAGCGTATGAGGAATGTCTTTGTGAGCGCTTCAGTGTCTGGGCACGGCCAAGACAAGAATCAGTGGATTTGGAACTATGTGACTAGAAATCTCCCAAAGTGGAGACAAAGGGAAAACAGAAGGAACCAAACAGCCTGGGAATGTCTGTGGCTTCCAGGAAGGTGTAGCCTGTGTCCTAGGTGAATAACAAATGCAGGAGAATCCAGGAAGGTAGACTTGAGTTGATAATGGATATACTTTTTGCAAGATAAATGGATGGTGTGCACCAAACCACACGTCCAGGAGGCCATCCCCCAGTAGGATTACAGCTCAAACCTACAGCTGGGTGTAGTGTTTCCCATGAGCAGTCTGTCCTGGAGAAAGTCTTCCATAGAGGGCAGAGGACATCACAGCTCCCCTCCACCAGGAGGCTCTGACTTCTGTGAGAAAGCAAGGAAGCAAGAGAGTAGAGGGAAGTAGCCCGAGTACAGCAGGAGCAGCCTGGCTAGCTCGGGAGTCTGTATGCGTCCAAAGCATCCTTCCACAGTGAAGGGGAGATAAAGGGTCCAGAGACAAAGAGAACCTGAGAACTGTCGCTCAGAGAGTGCTTTGCAACATGTGACAGATGTTCTCCAGGCAGTGGGAAATGTCCTGTGCTAGACACCATGAGCCTCCTTGAGGACAGTGAAGGGTGTCAGGTGAAATAGCTGACGGTGAAATGAAATATAGTTTTCTTCTTTTGTGATCTAACAGATACAGCATAACATCATAATAACATCAATGTAATCACCAAATATAAATTATATGTAAATGAAATTAATCGCAGTTTTTGTAGAATGAGAGAATTCTTACAAATGTACTGCAAAGCCTGTTTACTTCGATTGAAACTGTTACAGTTTATTTGAAAACTGATTTCTGTTCTTTTCAACACATCCTACAAACTCTAAGGCCAATCCTTAACTTTTTTTCTCTAATTGTAACATATGTTGTAAGGGATGATAGAAAATGAAGTTATACAACGTACCTCCAATTAAAAGTAAAGAGAAAATAAATGGAAGAAAAAACATAAAACTATAGAGTTTAGATCTTGAATAGAAAAATGTTGTACACATAGCAAATATTACTCCTGTTTTCTAATAATCACTATGAAGATAAGCATTTTATACACGCTAAGCACAGAGACTGTCAGTGTGGATAAGAAAACAAGAGTATGTTTATTATTTAAAAATCAGTTTTCAATATAAAGATGCAGAAAGATCAAGATAAAGGGATAAATACGTATGAGCTAACTCAAGTCAAAACAACTTTTGGGTAGCTATAATAATTGCAGATAAAACAGACATTAAAGTTGGGTAGCTATCAAGTACAAATTGGTGCACTTTATTTTTTTTTTAGAGGCTGAATTCTCCAACATAAGTAATCCTTAAAGTGCATGCGCCAAATAACAGCACCGAAAGTACTTGTGGTGAAAAGAGGTAGAACTCAAGGAAGAAATAGTTTAATTCACCATTCCACTGGAGACTTCACCTCCCCTTTAACAGTCACTGGTGGATACAGCAGGTAAAAACTTTTTAAAACAGTAGTCGAACCAAAAACACAATCAATCAACTAGATCTAGTTGACATTTCAAGAGAACTTCATCCAATGACAGCAGAGTATGCATTCTTCCCTGGCTCACATGGAGCATTTAACAAGATAGAGCACAGTATATGCCACACAATATGCTTTAACAGCTCTAACGAGTGTACATCAGAAAAAAAGTATTCTCTCTGACCAAATAAAATTAGAGAAGAATAACAGAAAGATAGCTTGGAACTCTCAAAATAGTGGGAAACTGAATAAAATATGTCGAAAAACATATGTGCCTGTTCCACAAGAGGTTCGAACTTGCACGTGCCCTCACCGACCCCTCCTTGGCACTTCACTTTTCCACTTCTATTCGCAGCAAGGCCATCCTCCTGAGTCTCACCCCTCCCAGGGGAAGAGAGTGTACTGTGCTAGCTCCGTATTTCAGAATATTTGACCTCTCCCCTGAGCCCTTTTATGGCAGAAAAGACTCATAAATGTTCACGGTCCATCCTGTGAGTTTAACAGGTAGAAGAGGTGAGTCTCAAATGTCCTTCCTGTGGTATCTGAAACACATACCTATGTGAGAGCTTGAAAACATCAAATTATATTCAGGATTACTAGGCTTAACACATCCAAAATATTAATTTGAATCTCTACTCTGTCAGTGACTGTCTATGAGCCTCATCTGTGACATCTCTTTAAGCTTTGGTGTCAGCACATGTAAAATGAGAACAGTATTAATACCTTCTTTTTTGTGTTGTTGTGAGGATTAGATGTGTCAATGCATCTAAAATATGTAGCACAGTGCCTAAAATACAGCAAATGTAGTATACATGGGTCATAATTCTTGAGCATACCCTATTGCCCGAGCTTCCTGTGTACCTACTCTTATACCTCTGTTGTCTAGAGAAGGGTGACAAGACGAGGCAGAACATTCTTTTTAAATTTTATTTACTTTCTGTTTTAAAGAGTTACAGAGAGAGAGAGAAGGAGAAACAGAGAGAGAGAGAGAGAGAGAGAGAGAGAGAGAGAGAGCCGTTCCATCTGCTGATTCATTCCCCCAAATGGCTGCAATGGCCAAAGTTAAGCTGATTTGAAGCTGGAGCCAGGAGCTTCTTCTGGATCTCCCACATGGGTACAGGGGTCCAAGAACTTGCTGCATCCTCTGCTGTTTCTCAGAGCACAAGCAGAAAGCTGAATAGCAGGTGGAGCAGCTGGCACATGAACCTGCGCCCGTATGTGATCCCAGCACTAGCAGGTAGAGGATCTCTCTGCTGCGCCACTGCACCAGCCCCTGGCAGCAGATAATTCTAAGGCCTATTATCAAGATGCCTGATACCAGCATACAGAATGAAAATATCCCATATTAGATGACCAGCAAGCAGTCGGGGACAAGGATATCTGAATCAGAATGGTGTAGGTAGGCAGTGCAAAGAAAAATTTTCAAGAGAAGGAACAACTTGAAAGAACAGTGAAGATGTGATTAAATAAAGGGGAAGTGGGAGGATATGCTATCAAAATGGCACAATTAAAGCAAAGTTATGGAGGGGACATAGAATCTAGGTTATCTAAGAACTGGTTAAGACTAGTCTAAAGGAAATAGAGGGGGAGGCACATGGGCAGAGTAGAGCAGAACCAAAGTGCGCAGTCATTTAAAAGAAGCTCTAACATCCTGAAATCCGAAAGCTCTTAAATTTCAGTGTCCTGAAATCATTGATTCCTGGCTCCGATGGTCTAGAGATCACAGGATACATGAATTCTAAGCCTCTAAAAATACAGAACTTGAGCCTTGTACACAGCTGCTGTCCAACGGAATCTTCGTGACAATGAAAATATTCTAAAATTTCCTGCTGCCTAATATAGTAGACACTGGCCACGATGTGGTCATGAAACACTCGAAGGGTGGATACTGCAGGTGGAAAGCTGGGTTTTTATTTCTTTCATTTTAACTAATGGGTAGTTAAATTTACCTAGCTACATATCGCTTGCAGCTCCCATATTGAACCATGCAGTTTTAGGCATTGGGTCTTAGAGCTGATAGAGAATTTTGATCTGAGAATTATACACTCACAGTTTGTTGTAATCAGAAAGTCATAACACCATACAACATTTAGATGTTCGTGCCCTGCAAAGAAAAAGTCCTTCATTCTCATAGAACTCAAGTCTTGTCTGATCCCTTTCACTTTATTGACATCCCGCAGACTAAAAAGGCCATGAATGTGATCCTCAGTGACCTACAAGCCAACGATTACTTCAACATCATCTCCTTTTCTGACACGGTTAATGTCTGGAAAGCTGGAGGCTCAATTCAGGCCACCGCTCAGAACGTGCACAGTGCCAAGAACTACTTGGATCGCATGGAAGCTGAAGGCTGTAAGTGTTCAACGGACCCGCTCCCTCCCCCTCCAAATGCACAGGCTTGGCTGACACGGGAAATTTCTGAAGCCCTTTCTTTATTCTCTCATCCTCCTCACTTCCCCAGTGTCTCCAATATCACTATTGTGTCTTATAGAAACAAGAGGGAATGTCAAAGTGCCCATGGAAATGAAAGTTATGAATTGAGTTCTACGCAGGTTCTCTTTTCATTCCAATGTCCACAAAGTTTTTGAAGGACACTGTTCTCTTGCTATCTTCTTTTCCTGATGATATGGAGATTTCTCTATGTATCTTAGGGTGAATTCTCTTTGGATTGGGTTTCTCCTCTTTCAATAGGAAAACATGCAAAACTGGCTACCATGTTTTAAATTCAATAATCCAAATATTTATTTTCAAGCACTTGAGCAAACTGTGATCCTGATTTCTGGCTTTTGATGAATTCTTTCCTAGACCATGAGTGAAGTCTCCTCTGTCCACTGACTCCTATCAACTCAGCCCTTTTCCCACTGCAGCAAGCAGGTGGGGGATGCTATCCTTGGATCCTTGGATAGTTGCCAGTCAGACTAGGAATGAAACCCCCCCCCCAGGAAACAGGCGAATAACAGTCTGAGGCAGAGAGTGATAAAGGCCAAGGACATGTGGGCCCAACTGTAAGATCTTAAGGAGTCTGGGTGGGAGTAGGACAGTTGGGAGGATAAGCAGCAGAAGCAGCCAGAGCAAAAATGAGACATGACGACACCTGTGAGGCTGGTGAGGGTTCCAGTGTGCCTGCCAGAGGCAAGGGAGGGTAGGTTGACGTGACCAGAGAATATGGTCTCACAATCTGTTCCCCAATTAGGGACCGATATCAACGCAGCTCTGCTGGAAGCTGCTTCGGTGCTGAACCACAGCAGCCAGGAACCTGGGAGGGGCCCCAGTGTGGGCAGGATCCCTCTTATCATCTTCCTGACAGATGGGGAGCCCACAGCTGGTGTGACGACCCCCGGTAAGATCCTCTCCAATGTCCGCCAAGCACTGGACCACAGAGTAGCCCTTTTCAGCTTGGCCTTTGGTGATGATGCTGACTTCCCACTGCTGCGTCGCCTGTCCCTGGAGAACCGAGGCATAGCCCGACGTATATTTGAGGACACTGATGCAGCCCTCCAGTTGCAGGGACTCTACGAGGAGATCTCCATGCCTCTGTTGGCAGATGTGCGTCTGGACTACCTGGGAGGCTTGGTCGGGGCCTCCACTTGGGCTCTTTTTCCCAACTACTTTGGAGGTTCAGAGTTGGTGGTGGCAGGCCAAGTGCAGCCAGGTGAACAGGAACTTGGTATCCACCTGGCAGCCCGTGGCCATAAGGGTAAGCTTCTTGTGGCCCGCCATAGTGAAAGTGCCACCAATGGCAGCCAGAAAGCCTTCGGTTGCCCAGGACAACCAACTCCCAACGTGGCTCATTTCATCCGCCGCCTCTGGGCCTACATCACCATTCGAGAGCTGTTGGAGGCACGCTTCCAAGCCAGGGACACCACTACTCGCCAGCTGCTAGCTGCCAAGGTCCTCAACCTGTCCCTTGAATACAACTTTGTCACACCTCTGACTTCATTGGTTATGGTGCAGCCCAAGGAGGACAGTGAGACCAAGAGACAGTATTCTACCACAGTTGGGTCAAGCACCATCATGCCTTCATCCAGCAACAGGCATAGCCAGGGAACAGGCACAGATCAGTCAGCTTTGGTGCCCAAGGTATTCCCCAAATCAAGGTCTGCGAAACCAACCTCAACTATGACTGCCTCTACAAAGAAGATACCCACTGCCAAGGAGTTGGAGCCACTGAGTCACAACTTTGGTACTCTATCAACACCAGTACACCCAAAGTCCAAAACTCCAACACAACAGGATTCTGTCACTTTTGCCCAGCCAACTCTCAGGATGAAAGCTGCTGCCTCTGCACCTTTAAATTCTGGGGCTTCGCTGCCTATGAATCCCAGCATTCCAGCACCTCAGAATCCTGCCACTCTATCACCCATGCATTCCAGGATGCAAGTCCCACCTCTGATTCCTGGCATCCCAGCACAGCCCAAAGCTGGCACAAAGAAGCATTTTCCTCCCCTGCATTCTGAACCAAGTGCTCCATCACAACCAAAACCCAAACTCCCACCACACCCCCAGGCTGCAGTTCTCATACCACAGTCCCCTAAAAGCCTGCCACAGCCCAGACCTGGGGTCTCCACACTTCAGATTCCCAAACCTCCATCACATATCAGACCTAAGGTCCCTCCTGCTCTCAAGAATCCAAATAACCTGCTGCACCCCAAATCTGTGATTATTTCACCCAAGGTCCCCCAAACCCCATCACTTTTTAATCCTAATGTGCCACCTCACCAAACTTCCACAAGCTTATCACTTTCAAAGCCTGGGACTCCAGCCTCTTACACACCCAAAGCCCCTCTCCCTTCTAGTTCTGCCAGGCCCTGGCCCCCACCACTCCAGAACTTAAGCACATTCCAGAGCACAGTTTCAAGGTCCACAGTTCCTGGTACTACCGTGACCACCTCAGTCCTTGGAGAACCTCTCCCCACTCCCTTTACTGTTGCTCTGCCCTCCCTGATACCCACTGAAAGGCTCTGGCATCAACATGACCTGCTGGTGGAGTCTCAGAGCACCAGGAAAGTTCTGAGACCATCTGTGCCAGGAGTTCCAACAACAGGTCTACCTAACAGCTCCAGGCCTATGCCAGAAGGTAGTGCTCCAAAACTGCCAATCTTGCTGCCTTCCAGCACTCTCCCTGATGCCATCAACCTGCTCCTTCTCCCTAAGGAGCTAAAGTTGTTGTCCGAGTCCAAGGTGGAAGCCAAGTTCGTGGAGTCCTTGGACCCACCAGCTTTCTATACCTTCCTCACTCCTGATGAAGATGGTGAGTGCTACTTGCAAGAGGCAAGCCACGGCAGGGGTGGGGGAGGTATAGATGGAGAGCATCAGGATCTGCAAGTGAACAAGGCATTAGAAAACTCTAGTGACACTGCAACTACTTGCTGGCTTCTGGCTTGCTTGCTTTGGAACTTTGAACTAGTGCCTTCATTTCTCTGGGCCTCAGCACATACAGAAACAAAGTGGTTAAGCTGTAGCTTTGACGTTTGTTTTGTTGAACAAGAGAATCACTGATGATTCCCAAGCAAGGCAGGGATGTAAGAGGAGAAACTGGAGCTTCACTGAGCAAGGCAGGTCAGAGTGGGGTTTTGTTGTTACTGTTGTTGTTGTTGTGTGTGTGTGTGTTTGTTTCCTACGCTCTGTGATTTTGATTAAAATGGGAGGATGGTGAGAATTATCTCAAATTCCTCAAAGACTGTGAAGTAAAAGCAATGAACACTTTTGAGTTCTTCCTCTGTAGAGGCACTACTCTACATATGGTGCTTATCTCTTAGTTAATCCTCACAAGAAATTGTGTATATACATGTTGCTTGTGGAGAGACAAGCAGAGAGAGCAGTCCCTTTTGCAGTGCCACACAGCTAGTCAGATATTTGAAGCCGTACGGTCTGGTCCCTAAACAAACGTGCTTCCCCACTCCACTATTGTGCTGATGTAAACGGGGCACAATATCCGCAACCCGCCCTCTCTCTCCACCCTTACTATCCTCTCCATCCTCGATTCCTGGCTGTGTTGCCAACAGTGCATCTCTCACATTTGCCCATTTCTTGCCACTCCAAATGTCACTTTCCTTACCTTTGTGGTCTTATCTGGAACGTTTTTCCACTGGTCCTCACGAGTCTTCCTGCTTCTTCTTTTTTTTTTTTTTTTTTAATTTTTTTTCCTGCTTCCTTTCTTGTCCAGATCTCCCAATAGCCAAAATCATTTTCTGAAGACACAATTTGCTCCAGGTTCTTCTCCAATTTAATCCTCAAGAGGGTTTCCCCTCGCACTAAGCATAAAGTCCTAAGTCCCTCCATGGCTTACAGCATCATGCCTCTCTGCCTTCACCTTCTCTTCCTTCACCAAACTCTTTGAACACCAGCCCCACTGATCTCTTTGTTCCTTCCGGAAGCCCCCACCCTCGTCTCTACACAGGCAGTTCTTTCACACTCCTCGCTTTGCTTGATAATCACCTTGTCTGCCTTGCTCTGTTCTCTTGCTACCATCCTCAATCATTTCACTGTCCCTCAGACTCCAACTCATTTTAGCTCATAACCACGTATCCACTCTCTGCCTAAATAGGCTATTTCCAGTCTCTGGAATTCCCTAGGTCACCTTATTATTTTTCACATAGCATTTATCACCAGCTGTAGTTATGGTTTCTTATTAAATCCTCCCCCACTAAGCTATGAGCTTCATCAAGTCAGAAAGCATGTCTGTCTGTTTATTTTTTAAATTATTAATAAAAAGGGCAGATTTCATGTATTTCATAGACACATTTCTAAGAAAATAGCAATGCTTCCTTCCATCCCTTCCCGAACCCTTCTTTCCTCCTCTTATTTTTGTTTAATTTTTACAAAAACATAATTTGAATCCCCTCTGTATTCACAGGCTTAATACACCACTAATCATAATATTTAGCAAGTAAAAAGTTAGAAGACCACCACTCCACAGGAGTATAAACAAGAAGTAAAAATAACAATCAAATCCGTTTCATTCCCACACATTTTTGTAGTCTGTGTTAACTCCCACATTACAGACAAAACACGTAATTGTCCTTTTGGGGGTTGGCTTATTCACCACAGTATATCTTTGATGCCTAAGCAATGCCTAAATGGATGGATGGATGGATGGATGGATGGATGGATGGATGGATTCTGTGAGGAAAAATATTGAATGTGTCTGAACTTGAAAGTCTAAGAGGCTGTAGAAAGTGTAAGGTCCCAGTACTGGAGACTGACGGGTCGGTTTCAGAAGCCAGTGAGGGGTGATCTGGTCAGAAGGGGAGTGTGTGCTTTGGTGGGATCAAGGCAACTTTGCCCTGGAAGTGTGAACTATTTCTCTTCTCTTGTGCTGGCAGGAAGTCCACACTGGGGTGGAACGTCTGAGGAGATCCTGGAAGGAGCTGGAGGCAGCATGAAATCTCAGAGAAATTGGGTGCAGCCAGCAGAAGGTGAGCAAGCACTTTTTCTGCAAAGATCACCTAAGCTTTCAGTTTCACTCAATTACAATTCTCATTGGCATTATCAAAGCCCGAGGGAAGATAATATATTTGTGTTTTAAAAGAGATCTATTTATTTTATGTGAAAGGCAGAGTTACAGAGATGCAGGAAATAGGACAGAGGGAGGAGGAGATGAAGGAGAGAGAAAAAAGGAGGGAAAGAGAAAGAGAGAGAGAGAATCTTCTATTCTCTGCTTCACTTCACAGATGGCCACAATGATCACAGCTGGGGCTGGCCTGAAGTCAGGAGTCAGGAGCTTCTTCTGGGTCTCTTACATAGGTGCAGGGGCCAAGCAGTTAATGAGCAGGGAGCTGGATCAGAAGTGGGACAGCTGGTACTTAGACTGGCACCCACAAGGGATGCTGGCGCCACAGGCAGCAGCTTTACTGATTATGCCACAGTGCCAGATCCTAAATTAATTTTCTAATGATACACAAGAAACTCAAAATTTAGCAGCTTAAAACCACACCTACTACTTGTCTCACAGTTTTGAAGATCAGAAGTCTACACATGGGGTAACAAGACTGAAATCAAAGTGTCTGTCAAACTGAATTCTCATTCTCCTCTTCATTAATTTTTTAAAATTCTCCATGATACAGTTTTGTAGGTATAGGGATTTCCCCCTTCCCTCCCCATCCACTTTCTTCTCCCTCCATTTTCCCCTATATTATCACAGTAGTCTAGTCCTTTGGTAAAAATTGCGTGTTACACTTTCTGCTATTGAAGTGCTTCGTGGCATGATAAGTGTAGGGAAAGATAGAAAATCTAGTATCATATTGTAAAGGTATATTTAAATGTTTCATCAGGAATCCTACTTTTATTTGGGAGATGCATAACACAACATAGTTTTACTTCCCATCTGCTAATCTCCATTATGGCATTCATCTTTTAGAGTATATGAATATACTTGATTACCTATGTATCTATTTTGTACTTTGCATGAAGACTATGACAATATTATATTAGAACATACTGTGCTGTTGGTGGAACTCAGTTCTTCATATTTGAGTGACTGAAATCCCTGTTGACTTGCTGGCTGTTGGCTGGGGGACACTCTGAGCTCCTAGGAATCATCTGAGGTCACTCTCAGGGGTCTCCCACATTCCTCATCACCTAGTTACCTCCATCTTCAAAGACAACCATGAAGAATCATCCTCACATTAAGCCCCTCTCACACATCATTTCTGTCACCTCTAGATGGAGAGCACATGTGATTATATCAATCCCACTTGGATGATCTCCCATTTTTAAGATCAACAGGGCCACATGTCATAACCCATTGATAGCACTGACAAAATTCATCCTCTTCATAGATTGATGATGCTGCAAAGCATGTATACCAAGAGATGATGGGCACTACAGAAGAATTCCCCAGACAGACAGAAAGAGAAAGTATTTGAGTTGTCCTTGAATGCTAGCTGAAAATTAATTCTTGGTAGTTAAGTGGAAGGAAAACATTCCAGAAGACAGGGGAAATGGGTATAAAAGGTCAGTAACAAGAGAAGGAGAGCGTCTAGTCATAAGATTATCCCATTGGGTTGGGCTGGAGTGTGAAGAAAACACTGGACAGAAGCATATGCAGATCCTGGGAAAGGCCTCAGTGCTGGCCTTGGGCATTTTGGCCACAGCTGGGTGAAGGTGACGCAGAGCCCAGTGTTCCTAGAGCGTGCTTGTCTATTTTGTGTTGCTCCAAAAAGTGAGCTAGTAACTTCCACAGAAAAGAGGTTTATGTGACTCACAGTTCTGCTGGTTGCATGGTGTTCCCAAACCCCCTTCCCCTGACCCTGGGCAATGGGAGAACTACTCTACTCGTAGGGAACCTAAGGCAACATTAGTCCATCCCTGAAAGACAAGTCTGGTGACCTATCCACCTCCCACTAGGCCTCCATCTCTTAATATTTCCCACTACCTCAACACTGCCACACAGGACCCCAAGCTTCAAGTCCATGCACCTGTGCAGAACAAACCCTGTAAAAGTCACAACAAAGTTCCAGAGATACAGCTGATCAATGCCTCACCCACACAGTCCCTCTGTCTTGCAGATATGCTGCCGAGCATCTTCACTTTCTCATCCTCAGGTAAGCCAGCCCTGCAGCTCTCCTGCTATAGTATAGAGTGGCTCACATACTGGGACCAGGACTGAGCTTGCTCTCTCTCTCTTGCTCTCTTGCTCTCTGGGAAATGGGCATGGCCTCCTTCCTGCTTCTCTCCTCCCTTCACTGTCCTCCCTTGTATCCCTTCCTATGAAGTTTCAGAGCTGCATCTCTTACATTGCAGTGGATGGGGATCCCCACTTTGTGGTACATATCCCACACTCAGAAGAGAGGATCTGTTTCACACTGGATGGACGCCCAGGAGACTTGTTGCAGCTCATAGAGGACCCAAAAGCAGGTGAGAGTCTCCAAGGACTCCAGCCCCACAACCAGATATGTTCATGACAGACATTTGTGGACTTAAAAGTCTTCACACACAGCAGTGTACTCTAGTAACACACGGAGAACACATACAGGCACACATGAACACACACACACAAATATACTCACATAAATACCAAGGTACTCACATATAAATGCACACACACTGGAGCATATAAGAAACTTAGCAAACTTACATAATTACCCAGACACACCTGTGCACATCCACAAATATGCATCCAGTGACACAAAATATATGTCATGTGTACAATGACATACCTCAACATACAAGCATTTATACCCCCAGATTCAGCTCAGTTTCCAGGATTCCACACACACAGGTGTCACACATACTCTGTTACCCCAGACATAGGAAACACACTTTAGCATGGAAATGCCTACCAAGATGCACTGACACACACCTAAATGCATGCACACGGACACTCTATGTACTCAACAGTGCAAATCAACATATAGACACAAAACATGCAAGACTTAGAACACTAACATAAGCTTACATGAACATACAAGCAAAAAATACACAATCTCAACATGCCAGCTTCAAACAGATGCCCAGAGATACTCTTCTGAGCATAAGCAAATGCAGACATTTATAAACTCACAGGCAAACATGCATAACTCACATGCAACCAACTGCACAGTGATGAGCCTGTACATGTGCTGTATGGGCCATGGTAGAAGCATGTGGACCCCGGTGCCTGACACCTCACCCCTGCGCATGCTCCGGATGATCATGTGAATGACTGAGCAGGTGCTATTCCCTTCCCTCCAGGGCTGCACGTGAGTGGGCGGCTGCTTGGGGCACCACCAAGGCCAGGGCACGAGGATCAGAACCGCACCTACTTCCAGCTCATCACAGTAACAACAGACAAGCCCTGGGCTTACACTATTACCATCAGACGCAGTTCTGTCTCTGTCCAAGGAGAGGGCACCTTGCACCTGTCCTGGGATCAACCTACCATACTAAGGAGGCCCCAACTGCAGCTCCATGTAGCTGCAGCAAGCCATCTCACACTCCGCCTTGGGCCAAACCTTGAGTTCCTAGTCCTCCGGCACCGCTACATACACCCCAGTGCCCTGCAACTGCCACACCTGGGGTTCTATGTGGTCGATGGCTCAGGCCTCAGCACCTCAGCCCGTGGCCTGATGGGTAAGTTTGTTCAGGCTGAGTGGGACCAGGAAACACCAATCCCAAGAGAGACTCTGCCAGGGTGAAAGCCTCACTGCCCACCCCCCATCAGCACCTCAACCACAAAGAGGAATCTGAGCTGTGCTATACACTTTGGGGATCCTGGTCTGGAGAACAAAGAGCCAGTCAGAGACAGGGATCACAGGGCAGGGTCAGCACTGGAAAGAAAGCAGACCAGGCAGCAGGAGGACTCCACACTGTGTAGTATGTGGGGTGGTTCTTTCCCAGACTCATAGCTCAAGAAAGTCCTTCTGGAGAAGGAGGGAGACCCATCCCATGGGAAACATGAAAGACCAAGCAAGAATGTGGCATAGAAGAATGGAGCTTGCAGGAACTGTGGTGATCAGAGCTGATTGCCAGGAGCAGAAGTTTGGCTTTATTCTGAAGGCAGTGGGGAACTATGAAAGACCATCAACAGAGGGAACACACAGTCAGATGGGGTATTACTTCAGGTTTATTATTCTACATCAAGGCTGCTGGGAAGGAAAGTTTTCGAGCCAGGTCACAGTTTATGAGACACTGGCAGGACCTCAGCAGTGACCTACACCAAGCACTCAGAGCAGCAGTGGCAGGTGAGCACAGGTTTACCTCCCCTGGGCCTCCTGCCTCCACTCTTGTCCTTTTAAATCTTCCCCTCGGAGTCCGGTGCTGTAGCTTAGCGGCTAACGTCCTTACCTTAAGCACGCCCGGGATCCCATATGGGCGCCCTGGTTCTAATCCTGGCAGCTCCACTTCCCATCCAGCTCCCTGCTTGTGACCTGGGAAAGCAGTTGAGGACGGCCCAAAGCCTTGGGACCCTGCACCCGTGTGGGAGATCCAGAGGAGGCTCTGGGCATTTGGCTTCAGATTGGCTCAGCCCCAGCCATTGTGGCCACTTGAGAAGTGAATCATTGGATGGAAGATCTTCCTCTCTGCCTCTCCTCCTCTCTGTATATCTGACTTTGCAATAAAAAATAAATAAATCTTTTAAAAAAAATCTTCCCCTTTCCTCTGCCACCACATCCACTTTTCCCCCTACTCATACTATACTCCTATCCCACCTGTCACATTTCCCACAATGCTTAGCTTCTTGCCTCCTCCAGGATTTAGCTGCTCCACCTTCCTCTCAGTTTTCTCTCTAGGTTTCCTGCTTTAGGATCCTCTCGGAGCTCAAAGCAGGGTCCCGGGTCACCACCCTGATTAGTGTTACCTCTCTCTCCTTCAGGGCAGTTCCAGCACTCTGACATTCGGCTGGTGACAGGACCTACAGGGCCTTACCTGCAGAGGCGACATGGCCCACATGTGCCTGTGGTCCTAGGCAAGAAGCTGCTGAAGGACTCTCCACGGCTTCGGCCCCGCTGGGCTTCCTGCTGGCTGGTGAAGCGCTCTTTTGTAGAGAGGCTGCTGGGCCAGTCCATCCTCAGCTATGTCCTGTGATGGTTCCTGAACTTCAGAACCAGGAAACCTCCATATGGGATATCCAGAGACCAGGGCATGAGATGAGCTAGGGACAAAGATCTGGGGACGTGAAGATGTTCCCAGGGACACACACTTGTGCATCTGCTGAGGGGATACATAAATGAGATACACACACAGACATGAAGACCTCTGTATCCAGAAGCAGAGGGACTCCTACCTGCTCACAGTCCTTCCTGGCTCCAGTCTCCACTTCCTCCTAAACCACACTCCAAAATAACCCCAGAAGTGATTTTCCTAAAAGAAAACCTAAGTCTTCAGTCCTGCTTATAATATCCCCTGGCTCCCATGGCAGATCTAAGGCTCTCAGATTATCTGGAAACAATTCTCTCCCACTACTAGACCTCTGCATATGCTTTTCCTTCCGCACGAAATGCTCTTCCTTCACTTCATGCAAGTAAATTTAATTCCCTTGTCAAGGTTCCATTGTTATTTCCTCTGGTAAACCTCTCCTGACCCATCTCCTAGACTGAGTTTGATCCCTCCCTCTGAGTTCCCACATCCCATCCCCATCCCTTCCAAGGTCACAGTACCTATCATTCTGTATGGTAATCACCTATTTTCTTGTCTGGATCTCTGACTTAGAGTGTGAGTTCTTTGAGAGCAAGGACCTTTGTTGAATCATCACCTATGTATCCTCAGTACCTAGAACAAAATAGATGCTTAGTAAATGTTTTCTGAATGAATAAACAAAAAAGTCTCATGGCACAGCCATAGGAAAATCAATGTATATAAACACACCAAAGACATAAGCTCACACACAAAAAGACAAGTGCGCTCCTGCTGGACCTCTGTATCACCATGCTTTTGAGTTACTTTCCATGTCACAAAGAGGCAAAGGTCATTTGGGCACAGGCACTGGAACACAGCAATATACAATGTACAGACTAAGAGCTGGACACATGTAGGATTCCAGACATAGGAGCAGAGGAATCAAGACACAGAAACACAGGTAGTCATATGGACACTGAAGAACCACAGTCTGAGACTCCCAGCGAGAGAAAGGCAGGAACAGTAAGTTACAGGTATATTGGCAGAGGCAGAGCAGGGTGATAGAACACAAAGACTCAGGGCCAGAGATCCACAAAGACCTATAAGCAGGGATGTTACATAGACCCAGATTAGAGACAAAGACCCAGGAACATGCCCATATGTAGAGGAGTGAAAGGAGAGCACAGACTCATACATGTGGCAATCCAGAGACACACAAAGACTAACCAACACTAGCAAAATGATAGGGATCAGGACATGTGACTGAGACATAAGGATAAGGACGGCATGGACTCAGGTATTAAAGGAGACACTGTGATGTGGTGACATGGATACAGGGATTTAAAAGCAATAACCAACAGGAAGTAAAATAGAAATTTATAATGGCACAAAGTTGTTCTTCCTGTTGATTTTGTTTTGTGGCTTTTCACTTGGGGGGATTTATAGTGACTGTGTAGTGGAGACTGACATGTCCAGATGTGAGGATATGATGCAGTGTGCATCTCTACTTCTGCACCAAGGATCGACTCCCAGTGAAACTGTTGGATATGTCTTGACAATGGGATGTTTGACTCTCCTGAAATGATGGAGACTTATGACTGTTTATGAAGAACTATGTTGTTTTAATGATATGGGAGAACTCAGTGGCGGGGGGAACTAGGGGAGGGGATAGGATAAATCCCAGGGCTCATAGAACTGTATCATAAAATGATAATAATAATAATAATAATAAATGAAAAAAAGAAAAAAGAAAATTCATCAAAATCTAAAAAAACAAACAAACAAAAAAAAAAAAAACAAGGCAACAACTCTAGGATCTGGTTGTAAAACCAGTACACATGGGAATATGAACCACAAATAGAGACACATGGATCCAAGGACAGACACATGAACATATCTGGAAATACAGAAACAGGAGCAAAGAAATGTACACACATAAAAAGAAATACATAGAAGCAAACTGGATTACAGTGACAAGGAAATCTCTCCAGAGAGGCCAGTACACAAAGACACAGCACCAAGTCACACTTGAGAATACAAAAAGAAGTGAAACACCAGCAAGTGACCAAAGCCACACATGAAGGGACAGGGACAGCTAATCAGAACCAGGGGTAAAGAGATAGTAGCTCAAAGATGAAAATGAGTGGGTCCAGACAGCAGACACAGAGAGGAGGTAAGTCTGATCCAACCAAAACCAGGGATAGAGTAAAAGAGAAGCAGATGCGGGAGAGCCAGCCTATCAAACAGACCCTCTGTAACAGGAGCACAGGCATGGGGACCCAGAGCAAAAGTTTCACAGACTGAGAGAAAGACAGAGAGTGACATCAAATCACAGAACAACTTAAGACACAACCATCACAATATAAATGAATCAAGAGGCATTGAAAAGGCTAGGGGAAAATAGTTGAAGGAGAGATTAAAACCCAAAACCCAGACAGAGCCAAGGACACAAAGAGCAAAGATCCCCAAATGCGCAGACTCAAGAACCCAGCACCACACGGCCCATAGAAGGAGGCATATGCAGTCAGGCAAAGTCAGAGGCTCAGAGACCCTCAAACACAGGGAACACAGACATGGGGACACACAAGCACTGAATCACAGAACCTTCCAGGACATGAAGATGCACAGAAGTGGAAGCAGATCAGCCCTAGAACACGAAGACTCATGGCAGCCAGATCCAGAGGGGTCCGGACCCTAAATCATATGCAGGGACCTGCAGACTCACAATGCACGAAGATTCAAGGGCACACACACAGTCAGTACCATGTAAAGGTTTAGAGGCATGTAACACAACAGGAATACACAAAAAGCTAGCACTGTGCAAGAAAATTGTTCCCAAAAATGCTCAAATACAAAAGCTCATTGCATGTCCAGGCACTGAAACATAGAGCTCCGTGGGCACACAGACAGGAAAACACGGGCTCAGGATACATTTTTTAAAAAAGCCTCAAGTACAGGTATGTTCCAGGCCAAGGATGTGCAGCTGCTAAAACACAAGAGGTCAAGGACACACAAACACAAGGACAAAAATAAGGGAATGGAGACTCGGTGATACCAAGAAATGTGGATATATAACCCCTGAGAGTACACTAATAGAATGTATGACAAATGGATGCATAAAAATGGAAAATAGAAACTGAGGAATTGCAGGGAACCAAGTATATACAAATACTGGGCCACAATATACAATGGAAACCATAGAAACCAGAACATGGAGATATTAGGCTGCATAGACCTTGAGAAAATAAAACAATGTAAGCACTGGAACATAGCCAGGCTCCGGCTACACAGGTAATAAGATGCATACAGCACTTGTGAAACATAGGCAACCACTAAAACACACAGAGACAGTGGTATGAACAAATATATTAGAACAGATGTGAGACCACTCAGGGACCCTGGCACACAGCAACAATGTGACTAGACACTGATACACAGGTATGAGTACACACGACACTGGAAGACACAGAGAACCTGGGACACACGGATACATATGCTGAGACTCACATGCTACTCGCACAACAGGAACCTATGGCCCAGAGAACAAATTGGAGTTCACAGATACAGCAACATGCTGACGCTGGGACACAAAGACACAAGACAGAAAAAAAAAAAAACACTTAGACACACAGACACTGGAACTCACAAACAGTGGACAAAGCAAACACTAGGATACATATACAGTGTGGCACTTTGGCACTGGGACACTCAGAGGCTGGGATACACATACTGTGGGTCACACAGATTTTGAGCTACTCACAGTCAGTGGCACACGCAGGTGTGGGACTGTACAAAACTCAGCTCCATAAACATTGTTACGCAGACAGTAGAACACAGATACAGAAGGACACAGAAACAGTAGGACTAGGAGAGACAACACAAATGCCAATGGTCACCGGTGTATGCAAACACTGGGAAATAGAAACCAAGGAACAAGGATGTAGGGACATCCACAGACACCAAGACACAGACACTGGCATGTACAGTCATCGAGACATAAACAAACCCAGGGACACCCAGGCATTGGAGTTCAGAGAGGCTGTGGTCTACAGACTCTGGGAAATAGAAACTGTAGCATAGTGTCAGTAGGGCACAGAGTATCCACTGAGTCCCCTAGACACTGGCACACAAGTCAAGGGTAAAATCAGACATTGGGAAGTCAAGATACTGGGATACATACATTAACTTACAGAAGCATGGAGACACACAGACACCTGGATTGCAAAGTCACTGGAGGATGCAGTCAGCAGACATTTACAGACACCAGAGGACATAGTTGCTAGGACATAAAGACACTGGGAATCAAAGACACTGATTTAGCCAACCACAGAGACTGGAAGACACTGACACATAAAGACACTCTAAGACACACTTAATGGAGCACAGGAGTGCAGAAGTGTGCAAAAACTGGGACACACAGACACTGAGAACTATTTCAACAACAGAACACATAGATATAGGACATACTGTGTTATGCATACACAAACACACTGGAACTAAGGTACAGACACCAATACTCACAGAAATACTGCAACACATAGACACACTACAATATGCTTACTGTGGAAAATACAGTCACTGGAAAACATAATCCCAGAGATCAATAGAAACTAGAGTAAGCAGGAAATGGGATATGTGGAATCTGAGAAACACTGTTACTGGGACACATCCAGAAATGGAGATACACAGATGCTTGCACTCCAGACACCAAGACATACAGACAGTATGGAATAAACAGCTCAATGCAAAGACACTGGGACAAACAACTGGACGTAGACACACATGCACATGCACACACGCACACACACCACTGACACCGGCACAAAGATACACAGGGATACAGACAAAGGAGCTCACAGAATTACTGAAACTAGAAACGTCATACAACATGCTACCATAGCGCACAGAACAAAATGCAGACCATAGGACACATCCAGCCTGGGACAAAACAGACACTTTGAAACACAGAC